CAGCACCAATGGCCTCCCAGTCTGACACCCCTACGGCACCCAAGGCCTGTGCCTGACCGACCAAAATCTGTTCATCCGACATCGGGACCACACCATCCTCCTCGTCCAAACCTTGCATGCCACGGCGAAGCAGTTCGGACCCCCGCTCCTCGACAAAGCGGCGTTGGCGACGCATCCGGTTCAGCCGCGACAACAACACCGCAAGCTGATCCTCAATCTCGGCAATCTCAGAATCCATTCGCTTACGCTCGGACGCATTACTCAACACTAGGAATGTTAGCAAAAAAAAAGGGGGGGGGAAAGAACCCATCAGCCACACTCACGAAGGGACGCGACGCTGGTCCCGTCGCAAGGTTTCCCCAGACGAACGCAGCGAGAACACCGGGAAGAGCCCTCCGCCACGACGCATCGCGCGCGTGGGGTAGCAGTCCAACAACGAGTGCAAGGCATCTCGGCCTCCACACCAACAGACTCGATCTCTTCAGCAAGGGCGTGCCGTTCGGCAGTCGAATTACGCAGACGGGACGGCTTCTTCACGCGTCCCGACATCGTGTTAGCATCCTGAAAAGGTAAAGAGGGAGACAGCAGGGACCCGCGTACCTACAGAAGCAAGGGCAGTTGGCGCTATTTGAAACAACCCAAGTCTTTCGGGGCGAAAGACGTTGAGGAGGGGCATCGTGTCACGATTTGACCACATGCAGTGACCCGGTGGGGCGGACAAGGGTGTATCCGCAGCCAATCATTGTACACAGGGACATGCAAGAGCGCTCGCAGCGCTGATGAGCATATGTAAGAGCGCCCGCTCACCAGGTGAGCGGACGAGCAGAATCACCTAGGCTCACTGGTGAGCCATGGTGAGCGGACCAAAACCAGCTAGTATATAGTCATTCATTCTGGAGGACTCTGGGAGTTCTCCAGTGAGCAATACAAGCAGTAAGGTAGCCCTACATTACTGTGCAGACATTGCGACTTGCATTGTTGTGAACCTTTTGGCTTCACCGAGACCTACAGTCCGACCAGCAGTACCTTCGACCGGCGAACCCTTTCAGAGGCAGGACTGCCTGTGGTTTCGTCACACCTCATGACCATACTATGGTTAAACCAACGGCTTCAGCCCGGTTCCTAGGGGTCTGGCTCGACTGGAGGCTTTCTTGGAAGGCCCACGGAGCCAGCATAGCTACCAAGGTAAGAACCCAAGACTTTGCCCTATCAAGGATAGCAGCCAAGACCTGGGGCCCGGGGCTAGCCAGGGCCAGAGAGGTCTATACCAAGTGCATTCGTAGCGCAATAGCCTATGGGGCATCCAGCTTCCACAAGCCTACAACACTCAACGGCTCACCACAAGGCCTAGCCAGGGACCTAGCAAAGGCCCAGAACCGAAGCCTACGCATCGTAGCCGGGGCCTATAAGGCTACCCCTATACGGAACCTCGAGATGGAAACTTGGATCCCCCCCCTAGACCTTTACCTTAACAAGAGGCTAGCCGACTTCGAAGGCCGGCTCAACGAGCCTATCCTACAGGCCGGGCTAGGCCCAGAGGCCCTGAGACGCCCACCAAAGGAAATCATCCAAGGGGCTTGCAACAGGCTCCAACGAAGGTTCTGGAGGCTACGGGGCCGGCCCCGGAGCCCAGGAAAGCCAACAGACGTCGAAAAGGCCTCGGCTGTAGTGGCCGAATGGAACGCCCAGGCTAAAGCCTTGGGCCCACCATTGGCCAAGACCTAGGATGACTGGGCATTATTAAGAGCTTGGGAGGCCAGGTGGAAAACCCAGGTCTAGGGACAGCCAACCAGGCTAGCCGACGAAGGCCTACCAACAGTTCTCTTCACAAACCAAGGCCTACGGAAACACCAAGGCCTTACAAAGGCCAAGAGCTCCCTACTAGTACAGGCCCGTACGGAGGCTATAGGCCTATGGGACTTTCTTTTTAAACAAAAGGCCCGTAACCAGCCTACCCCCTATTGCGAATGCGGGGAAGGCCGGGAGACAGTAGAGCATCTTGTGATTTGGTGCTCTATACCACCTATACCAAGAACTTGGCCTAGGCAACTAATACGCACCCACCGGGACCTTAGCCTTGTTTTACAGGGCCTAGGCTACCGGAACCGAAGACTTCTGAAGAAGGTACTGGGTTGGCTAATGGACTCGGGCCGGCTAGGGGAATATAGGCTCGCTCGGAACCTCGATGAGGAACTGGAAGCTAGAGAGCCCAGCTAGCCACACCCGTGGCCACGGCTTAGCCGGGCTAGCACCCTACTAGCCGTTGGCCCAAGGCCTTCCCAAGGCCTTTTTCTTTACTTGCAGCAGCGTGTATCACTGAAACCATGTCTTTCCTATTACTTCCGACGAAGGTTTTTACCCGGCCTAAACGGTACGGTTTTTCCTTTGTACATAGCAGTAGAGGGTCCGGCGCGCCTTGTAAATAGCTAGGCATAGCGGAGTAGGAGAATATATATATTAATAGGCGGTAGGAGGTATATCTTATTAGTTCTTGGCCTCCTATCTACTAAAGGATGAAAATACTTATAATATATTCTTCTCATATTTAACGGTCTTCTTAGCCTCCTTGATTTTATTCCGATGAATTCTGTATATAATAATAGGCTTTACCCGGTTCCGGTTATAGGGATCGCGTATAATAGATATAGTGAACTGCTTATATAGAGGATCTTTAAAGTAGCCTAGACGGAAACCGCCGGTACCTAGTTGAATGACCGTATAGTAGAACGATACCCTTGTAAGTAGCGTAGTGTCAGGATCGAATTCGTCACAGAGCCGGAGAAGCTCTATTGCTCCAGGCCGGAGCCAAGCAGAGCTGGCTAGGCCGCGAGAGGGGGTGGCGCTCTATCCCTGCATGCTAAGTACTGCAGCAGTGAGTAAGCAGACAGAGTAGCAAGCTCGATCTGCAAGGAGGTCAGCAGGGCAACGCCACAAGAGGGAGCAGTGAGTAGGCAGTGAGTAAGCAAGGGGGAATAATAGGCCTTGATCCATCAGGGGATCAGCTGGGTGAACGCCAAGGGGTGAGGAAGCTAGAAGATAAGAGTCGCAGGAGAGGGCCTCATTTCGGGGAGGGGCAGAGTTCAGTGTGATCCCAATCTAAGACCTACCTTACAAACATTTCCCTGGCTGCTCAGTGCTTGCGTGTGCCTTATTCGTACCTCCTCACTCTGACTTACAACCCATAGGACTCTTGGTCCTGACACGTAGCGGGTATATTATCAGCACGCTGGTATAGCGCTATAAGAATAATAATAATATCTGCTACTATTGCCTCCACCTTCTTATACGACGAGTCGATCTCTAGCCCGAGTTCTAGCGTTAGTGTCTAGAGAATCTACTAGCTAAGTAGTAGTTTAGTATAGTATACGAATAGTAGAAGCGTAGAATAAGAAGAGGGGAGGTATAGAGGAAGTATCCTTAGTGATATACAAGGTGATATAAGTTTTATATAAAGGGGATAGAAGTGATAGAGTTATTTCTAGGCCCTATATACCCTAATAATTAAATAGGCAGGTCTTTTATATATCTCGCCTTCTTGCTCCTACTTTAATATAAGCCTGCTGGCCTTTAGGGCTTAATTATTCCTTTGTAGTATAGCCCGCTTAATATAGAGGATATTATAATCGGCCGCTATAACAAGCATCCGCTAAACCTCAATGACACTATAAGCAGAGTTGACTATATAGACTATAGCGCGCTCCTTAGACCCTAATACAATATATTCCTTATAGGAGCTTTCTATATATTAGTATAGAAATATCTAGACTAGTGCCTAAAGGTTTAGGGCTAATAGGTCCTAGGCGAAATCTATTTAGAAGCAGTAGGAGTTAAGATCGCTATAGCTTCACTTAGTTAGTACTAGTTTTAGAGCTCAATAGTAAGCCTTATACTATCTAGGGAGCGCTATATCTATCTATTACACTTTCTTTCTTTCTAGTAAGTTTATAGAAATTTTATAAAGTAATAGAAATTAGTTAATATATCAGTATATTAGTCCGAGGGCTTATATCGAGATTTAGTTTAGATTAGGGAAGTATAGGAAGGAGAGGGAGAAGATATATTTAGTCTACTCTTCCTATATTCTATCGCGCTCTACCTTCATATCTAGAGCAATAAAGGGCTTTTTATTACTACCCTCCTCGATAGCACTAACTATATAAGTCTAGAGGAGTATATTAATACTCTCTAGGTCTGCTCTAAAGAAACGCGACTATCGTTATATTATTATAGTAAGTTAAGAAGTATATTAGAAGTAGGAAAGAAGATAAGGAGGAAGGGAGTTCTAGGGATTTAGGGGAGTAGGAGGAGGAGGGGAGAGGAGGGAGGCTATAATAGTATAGGCGAGCTAGGCTAGTAAGGCTAGTACACCCAAGGTTCGAGGGTCGGGCGTAGTTAGTTCGCGTCCCCGTACCGGGGGACGGGATCCTAGCGCCGAAAATACGCCGCCATCGCGAACACGCGGGGTGCGAGCTGAGGGACGCAATAGGGTGTGAATGAAGTAGGATAGGCGACGCCTTCCGGCCTCCGTTGCCGGCGCCGTTTACAGTCGATACGGAGCCGGCCCCACTCCGGGAACGCGAACGGGTTCTCGGCCGGCAAAACTTCGGGTGAGTCGTTGGCCCGGGCTTGCTGAGTCATCAATTGCAGTTGTGCGAAATCCAAGATTTTGCTTCCAGGCGGGATTGAACCGCCGACATTCGATTGTGAAGATACGAGATCGACGCTCTACTGACCTATACGGACTTTGTGTACTGTACGATGAAGCAAGCATTTGAGATCCCGCTCAGCAAGGGGTAAGAGCTGCTACGGACCCCTAAGTAATAGGTGAAGCAACTCTTACCACGGACAAACTCATCGGGGGAAAGGACCTTAGACTCATGTCCTCGGTGATGTAACCGCATACAGTATGCCGTATAGGGGGGCACAGAATGGTAGCTCCCACAAGCGCATTATAATTTTTATCCTCCCTTTCAGTAGTCTAAACCCGGCCCACTCAACTTCTAGGTAAAATATATACGGGCTGAAGAGAACCAGCGAACGTCAGCAAAAGTCTGGTCATTCTACAAATTCCCATTTCTCTTGAAGATCCCCTTTTCCTTCCTAAGACAGCTCATGCACCTGCCCATCCCCGCGCTGCGTGGGCAACTCAGCCGCGCCAAAATGCGGCTCCTGCTTTTGCGGGCCCGGATACGGGACATACGGCCCATTCTGCGGAGCGAAGTGACCCTGTGGAGGGGGCGTGCCGCCGCCCATGGAGTGATGCGGCGGCGGCGGAGATGGCGTGCCCATGCCCATCTGGCCCGGTATAGGCGCCATGGCGTGCATCTGCGTATGATAGACCGGCGATGGGCTGTTGGCCGGCGAGATGCCCATCGGATCTGGGCTCATGTGCGAGCCCTGCATCGAGCTGACCGTCGTCGCCATCGGGGGCTTGACCATGCTGTAGCGCGGGTCAAAGGCGCCTGGGGTGCCGGGCATACTGGCCATGTTCGGAGGCGATGGCTGGTTCGGGTACGGGCCTTGGCCTGGAGGCGGCATGTAGACTGGGCCGCCTGGGGGTGCCATCGGGGAGGCCGGGTCCTGCTTCTTGCGCCGGAGGAGGAAGAAGACGCCGAGACCGAGCAGGCCGAGGCCGGCTAGAGCAGAGGGGTTAGCGTCGCTGATACGCAGAGACTCTTGTGGAGATGTAGACTTACCGACACCACCCACTACACCGCCCACGATAGGCCCAACCGGAGTGGATGACGACGCTGCAGCGGGTGTAGAAGTGGAGGTATTGGTCGAATCGCTTGTGGTGGCGGCCTGAGTGATATCGGAGGACGATGAGGAGGCCGAGGTGCTGGTGGACTCGGCTGACGTTTCGGTCGTCAATACCAAGCTGCTCCTGCTCGTCTGCGAGTTTGGCCTTGTGTCAAAGGACCTGAAGTAGAATTGACGCGTCGTCGCCACGGTGTCGCATGTTGGGATCGTGTAGCCGGACACGGAGTTTGTCGGATCGGCGTACCGCAAGACAGCACAGGACGGCTTGTCCGAGTCGGAACTGGTGTGGTCAGCATCGCCATTCGAGAGAAGAGGGCCACGGCGAGTTGCATACCAGTACCGCGTCCTATCCATATCCAGGGTGGAACTCCTGTCGGACGCCGAGTAGTCCAGACAGGCAGTGTAGATGTTGCAGTCTGTCGTCAAACAGCAGCCCACAGCAGAGGCTTCCGTGTTGAACAAACATTGCGCTTCATCATGGCCGCAGATATATGCCGACCCTATGCAAGTGTCAGAACCTGATGTCGCACACGATGAACAGCAATGACTGACTGGAATTCCCGTCGAGATATCCGCACGTGTTGGTGTCGCGCTTCTGCAACAGCGCTCTTGGGGCCGGCCGCGCCGTGAGCACGCGCGGAGCCAGGAGAAGATTGGCATCCTTCAGGTCGGGCACCGGTGTCTGGACGGGACCCGGTGCGTGCGGCTGCTCACGCTGTAGGCCGGCGGACACGGCGCTGAGCCAGGCCGAGACGGCGACCAACCGACGGAGACTCATGACGGCCATGGCTGTAGGCGTCCTGGCCGCTGGTGACGGCGACTTGGTGACTGCAGCGGCGCCGGGAGGGAAGCGAAAACTCGGGAAAGAATCTTTGCAGAAGCGCGGCTGGGGCAACCATGCATCTTAACAGCCACCATCCGATCGCCCACCTTTCCCATCCTTCCTGAACCCAGACCAGCGGTCGCGCACCTTACCGATTCTCGACATGCCAAGCGAAAAGGAAGACGCGACTGGGGTCATCAGGCAACACTAAAACAGGCCTTGGGCGTCAGCCGCAAATCAATTTCCCGGCACTTTGGCGGTGACGCCGCACAGCCCCGGATGCGCGTTGCATTGTGAATGATGATCCTTTGAAGGTATTGGATTGACCGGATTGCATTCTGTTCATGCTGGCGCTGGCAGTCGAGTCCGGTGTCGCAGAAGTTCAATGGAGAGGTACGGAATAGTTCACCGTGAAAGACGAGTCCAGTGATGAATTGACTGCGGCCTGGAGCTCGGGACCCTGGATCCAGCGCTGGGTGGGGCTAAGCGGAGCCCAGAAGCAGTGAGCACAGCTTGCAACCCTGCCATTGTAATTTGGGCTACCTTCGCGGATGATCTTCCCTCCGATGATGACCAGCCCTACGAGATGAGATGGTTTCAGTTGCGGCGTCTCTCCCGCGTGTGAAAGCTTGGATGATACAGATAAGACGCGCCTCTCTAGGTGGTCGACGGCCAATTGTGATAGAAGTGTAACTAACTATCGAGTCTTCAGAGGGCAGAATCTTTCCCGGAATTCCTCACCGCGACCCCCCGGGATTCCGGCGCTGCTCTGGTTCTCGGCTCAGGGCTGAGCATTGGCGAGGCAGCTCTCAGGGACGGCTCGGCGGCAAGTACCACGAGTTCCGCTGTGGCTGCCGTTTGCCCTCTCTTATTTCCGCCCTGATTTGACGCTGTTCCCTGAGGAAGGGGATTGTCCCTCGGCCGGGTCTCGAAAGGACGTCGTAGTGATATCGCCGATGATCGAGCCGCAGGTTTTCTGCTAAGTCTTGGGTTTTCAGGGTTCTACAGTAAGTGTAGAGATAACCGACGAGAACAACCAGGTGCATCCGGAGCTTGCTGTCGTCAGGTGAATCGAGCAGGCTGTCGATCATAGCGTCGAGAAGGACAGGGAGAGGAGGCACAAAGCTATCCGGAGAACATGGACGTAGGCTGTCGATAGGAACGTTCCAGTCGGAAGCTGGGAGGAGAACTGTTGTAGTTGGTTTCGGTGGGTGTTTGTTTGGTTGATCTGTCTCCGGCTCCCGGGTGGTCTCTGGAGCTGGGGGATTCAGGCGTCGCTGCGGGAAAGGCCCCGTCAAGAAGTGGTATATATCCGTCGGCGGCCCGGCATCAGTCCAGCCGTTTCAGCGAACATGCTTGCGGCTTCGTCGATGTCTGGAACTAGAACGTGCAGGTTGAAGACCACCGTTGGTACGCCGTACGGAGCGATCGCATCTTCGAACCAGACAAGACATGGAATGCCTCGCTCCCGTAAAATGGCACATGGCTCGTGCCGTGTCGGGGAAGCTCCCATAGTTGATACCATTGTGATGGTAGGCGGATGGGAGGAAGTAGTGTTGGAGTACTACTCCGTAAGGTAAGAGCAGCCTGAGATGAGCGGGGCATATGTGACTGAATTGGAGCGCACCGGGCAGGGTTAGGGTTGTGTATCTTGCAGATTTCAAATTGTCTCGACTGAGTCGACTCTCGGGCTTGTTTTCTCTTGCTACCTATAACTACATATCGGTTCTGTTTTCGTTTTTGCCCATTGATACGTATGGCTTTGGGAGGCAACTTAGTCACCTGTGTGCGCCTGATTTCAGACAAAGGAGGCGTTGACTGCCGTCCATGATGATCAGTCTCATCTCCATATCTCAGTTCGGGCCTTGTAGACTTGACAGTTGACGCCGGTTCGAGGGGATACACTCAACACGGAGTAGGAGCCTCGCCGAGAATTTGGCAAGAGCACCCGACCTTGGGAGAATCAGACTGCGGGGTTGCTGCAGCGGAGAGTTCGGGGGTTGGCGGGTTCATGCAGGAAGGAACCAACGGATGCCTAAATAAAGGAAAGACACGAGCCTCATGCGAGGTCGATTGAGGTGACTGCCTGCAAGACACTGATCAGGTTCCTCTTGACCTTAACACTCAATGGAAATGACAATCAACAAACTCAACTCAATCCCACTCCGTCTGTTTTCTCCCGTTCGTCATCATACTATATAATGGATTCATCTACTGCAACCTCACCGTATCCTCCGCCTGGCCAAGTCACTGCTGCAGCCCGGGCAGTTGCTTTGAGCCTTGGAGAAGAACTGCACTACGCCATTGTGGGAGGCGCTGCTTGCTTGATGCTCGGATCGGCACGCTTGACTGCCGACGTCGACTTCGTCGTCCCCAAGGGGAGAACAAAAAACGCGCGGCGACTGCTGAGAAATCAGCCAGATCGATTCACTGTCGAGAGTAGGGCGAACCACACGTACTACCGTACTCAGAGTCAGAGACATACAAGCCATAGTCTGGGGGACGAGTGCCTAAGGAGGTAGTTACATGTGGCGTACAGGTGTGCAAACGTTCTTGTATACAAAGGTGCAAGAAACATATCGTTTCGGTTAGGTCTAATCACGGCGAGGGGCAGACATTGGATAGGGAGAGGACGTTTGATATAGGTGGAAGGGATCTAGAGGCAAGGTCGGGGTATTGTTTGTGTGGGGCGTCCCCTCCTGTTTAACCAGCCTTGGACGCAAACATTCCTTAGCTCGGGACATGTCTCGGACTTAAAACAGCCCGGCGAACGGCTTCATACTGTGCAATCATGGAATTTTGCCGGGCTGACTGCTTACCAATGCACAGTGCGAGACCCGTGTCATGCCGCTTTGTCTCCCTTGCATCCTGTCCCCGAAGTCCGCCACACGTGAAGTGGCTCTTTGTCGCGACTCACAGATCGCGCCCGGCACCTCCTATCCATGCGGCTCTCTTCTTCATCAAACTTAGCCTGACGCAGGTCGTGTTGTACGGCAACAAATCCTACAACCGAGATTTGGCCCTCATGGATGCGGATATAACGCGTTACAGCATCGACGTGTCGTCCTCCCTGTCGGCGGTATCCAAGGCGGAGGAGGGTGACAGGTTGCTTCCTTCCAGCGCGGCAGCCGACGAGCAGTGTCCAGGGAAGCCGAGCGGCGTTGGTCTTTCTCACAGATGGAGGAGGATTTTGAACCTTCTCCTGGCAGGTCTTGCACTGCTGCTTGCGATACTGGCGGCGGTGGGGTGGATCTTGTACTGGCGGGCATCATCGAGGCTACACCTAGTTGGTGAGATCAACGGGCTGGTTCCTGAGTGTGAGTGTATTCCCTTGCCTAAGGTAATCTTCTTCGGCTGACATTTGGCAGTTCCCGTTCGACCGGTTGTCTTTCAAGAGGATCCACTGTCCACGTCGGATCCCAAGACGGCCGAGTCGATCAATGCCACATACGAAGATTGGCTGTCGTTCATGCCTGGTGCGCGACCTTTCCTTAGACTCTCCATTATTACTGCTATCGGAAAGAGGGAGCGGGTCAAGACTAACCCTCAACAGTCGGGAACGGCTTCATAGCCGTGGAACCAGACCCTCAGCACATCTTGCCGCCCCCGATGATAGACGAGCAGTCGAAAACGGAGATGTATTCGATCGCCGTGTTCCACCAGCTCCACTGTCTGGTCAGTCTCGGAGTCTCTCAGCTACCAGTAATCAGGCCACATCTCCGAGGCACAGCTAACACCAATCGTCAACGACAACTAGCACGGCATCATGAGGAAGTACAACGAACTGGCGGACCAGCTCGAGCTGGCCAAGCGGGGCCAGCTGCTGAACCTGCACGACCTGCACGACCGAGACACGCACGAGATGCAGCACCACGCGCGGCGGCACACGGACCACTGCTTCCGCTACCTGCGCCAGTCGATCGTCTGCTGCGGCGACACGGCGCTCGAGGGCCAGAACCCCAAGGCGCCGATACCGGACACGGACGGGACCGGGGCGGTGCATCTGTGCAAGGATTTTGAGGCGTTGAAGAAGTGGGCTGAGGAGAGGAGGGTGGTTGACAACCATGGCATATAACCAGGGCGAGGGGAGGGGGACTTGTTAAATATTGTAGCTGCTTTTCGTGTCTTCTTGTTATGCCCTCGTAGTCAGACTCAGTCGGATAGCTTTAGCTAGCCTGCAGAACCACCTTCGCCGTCCCAAGCCCGCCCGCAGACGCCGTGACAGTGATCTGGCCCGACGCACCCCTTTTCGCGCGGACCACGGCCAGAGCAAGACCGCTAAACGCCTTCCTCGTCCGCGACGGGAACGGAGTGAAATCGGCCGGGTCGCCATTGTCGGTCGACACAATCGTGCCGGGCCCGTCCACGGAGAAGGTAATCGCATTGTCGGCCCGCGGCACGGTATCGCCGTTTCCATCCACCACCGCGACCGTGACAAAACTCAAATCATAGCCATCCCCCTTGATCTCGGTCCGATCCGCGCTGGCACTCAGCCCCTTCGCGGCGCCCACCGTCCTCCTCTCCGCCCGCGCCCATTCCTTCCCGCCCTTGTACGTCACAACACTAATATTCCCCGGCTGATAAACGACCTCATCCCACCGAAAGCGGTACTCATACTGCCCCCTCTTCACCCGCCCCGCACTCACCCCATTCACAAAAAGCTCGGCCTCGTCCGCCGACGAGAACACATGCACGGGCGTGACCAGCCCCACCCTGTTCTGGTCATCGGTCCAGGTCCAGTGCGGGAGGAGGTGCGCCATGCGCACGTCCGGGTTCCAGCGCGCCTGGTACAGGTAGAAGCGGTCCTTCCTAAACCCGGCCAGGTCGATAATCCCAAAATAGGAGCTGCGCGCGTACGAGTCGTACGGCGTCGGCTCGCCCAGGTAGTCCCACCCGGTCCAGACAAACTCGCCCGCGACGAAAGAGGGCTGCCCGGTCCTGTCGTGCGCGGCAAAGACCTTATCGGGGGACGAGCCCCAGCTCGTGGCGTACAGCTCGTAGGCCGAGACCTGGTGCGACGTGGAGTTACCACCTGCGGCGTCGCCGACCGTGGCCGAGTTGCCGGCCGTGACGGGGAAGATGTAGGTGCCCCGCGTGGATAGGGCCGATGCCGACTCGGACGAGTAGATGACCTTGTCCGGGTGGGCGGCGTGGAAGGCGGCGAAGGAGCCCGCCGTCGACGTGCCCTGCCCTTCGCCCTGGTAGTTGAGGCCGATCATGCCCAGGACGCCCGGGAGCTGGGCCGACGGGCCGGCTGCGTTGAGGGCGGCCGTCACGGGGCGGGTCGGGTCTTCGGAGCGGGCGATGTCGCGCAGCTCGCGGCCCGTGTTGGCGCCCGCCGAGGAGGATTGCTCGGCGATCTCGTTGCCGACCGACCAGGCGATGATGGACGGGTGGTTGCGGTCGCGGCGGACGAAGGCGCGGAGGTCGGGCTCGTGCCAGTCCGCGAAGATGGTCTGGAAGTCGTTGCGCGTCTTGTGGCTGTTCCACGTGTCGAAGATCTCGTCGAGCACGAGGAAGCCCAGCGTGTCGGCCAGGTCGAGCAGTTCCGGGGCCGGGGGGTTGTGCGAGGTGCGCAGGGCGTTGGACCCCATTTCTTGGAGCATTTCCAGCTGCCGGGTGGCGGCGCGCGTGTTGAAGGCGGCGCCGAGCGAGCCCAGGTCGTGGTGGTTACATGTCCCCTGGAGGCGCACGCGCTGGCCGTTGACGAGGATGCCCCTGTTGGGGTCGTACGTAACGGCGCGGATGCCGAAGCGGGTTTCATACGTGTCGATGACGGCGCCGCCGGATGAGAGCGTTGTGATGGCGACGTAGAGGTTGGGCTTCTGCAGCGGTGCCGGCCCCCAGAGCAGCGGGTTGGTGACAGTCGTCGATGTGTTGACAGACCGCTTCTCGCCCGGTGGAATGCTGACGGTCGCCGGCTTGAACGTCGCCACGGCCTCGGTCCCGCCCAGCACGCGGATCTCGGTGGCCACCTGCACCCCCTGGCTGCTGCTGGAGTTGCCCTTGTTCTCGACCTCGACGATCAGGTTGACCGTGGCCGACTTGTCTGACACGCCCGACGTCGTGATGTACGTGCCGTACTGGCCCACGTGCGTCGGGTTTGTCTTGACGAGCCACACGTTGCGGTAGATGCCGGCACCGGGGTACCAGCGCGAGTTGTCCACGGCGTTGTCGAGCCGGACGGCCAGCAGATTGTCGTCGCCCACCCGCAGGTACGGCGTCAGGTCGAGCCGGAACGAGTTGTAGCCGTACGGCCAGCCGCCCACCAGGTTGCCGTTGAGCCACACGGCCGAATACGACATGGCGCCGTCGATGTCGAGGAAGACCGACTTGCCCACGTCCTCGGCCGCCACGGCCACCTTGCGGCGGTACCACCCCACCCCGTTCGACGGCAGTCGGCCCATGCCGCCGCTGATGCCCGGCGCGTTGAAGGGCCCCTGGATGGCCCAGTCGTGCGGCAGGTCGACTGTCTCCCAGCCGCTGTCGTCGAACGAGCCCTGCACGTACTGCACATCGCGGCCCGGCGGCGTCCCCGAAGGCCGCGGGTGCTTGGTGCCCTGGATGAAGTCGTTCGCCGACGGCAGGATCCACGGTTTCAGCGTGTTGTACGACAGCGAGTCCGGGTTGGATGTGAAGCGCGAGAACTTCCAGCCTTCGTTGAGACTGATACGCTCTCGGCCCGTTTCACCGGCGCGGGTGACTTGGCGTGGGTGTGCGTCCACAAACAGCGGGCTGAAGAGCAACAAGAGCAGCATCAATGCCAGCTCGCCGCTGCGGCCTAGGCCCCTTAACGAAGACATGGTTGATGTAAGGAGCATGCCTGTGTGCTCGGGCAAGGGGAGCACGGTAGGGACTGGGAATATCGGGCTTTAACAGGCCACATAATGTACTTATAGACCATCGCGAGCCGAGGTACGGTACGGCACCCCGTCACCCCATCCATCTCGTCGACTCCTCGGGTGAACATGTTCCCACGGGGCACCGGCACATGTGCTGCAAGGGCACCCGCAAATCGCACTCTAGTGGCAGAGATCGTCCGTTGCACAGATCGGAATACAACTTCAGGGCCGTGGCATGACCTCTGTGTTGTATCGGCATGGTACACCCCCGCACTACCCGAGATGCCTAGAACGGGATGAGAGTTGCCGTTCGTGGGATATTTGTTGGCGTTACATTTAGCCTGCAGAGACGAGTCCTGGATCTGATGTGATCAGCAACGCTGGATTGTTGACCGGTTTGCTCTGCGCTTCCGGTTCACGGCGACGGCACACTAACACTTGCCTTGGACAATCGACATATGACATGGCCGGAGTGCAATCCATACCACCTACCTACCTGCAGTTGCTAACCAACAGTTTGAAGTGTTGCCTTATTGGCGCGGCTAGCTACGGTACGGAGTTTGCATCATGGGATAAAATGTGTTGAGGGCCAGTGAAACATAGGTGGTTGAGCGATGTAGGAACAACAGTTCATGTGAGCGAATGGTGCAACACGGCTCGGAGTTGGTAGTCCCATGGACCGAGCTATATGGAAGTTTGTACGGAACACTACTGCTATTGCTTCATACCGTGGCGCCGATGATCTATGCTCAACTTCATATTCAGCAAAGCGAAGTGCTGTTCTCAACGCTCTTCTCAGCGGATCCCGATGTGCCTATGTCAGCATTTTGGTGGCTCTGTGACACGACCCGGCAGCCACTGAGAACATGATCAGGACACCTAACAGCATAGGATTGGCTGTTTTCTTATTGAAGCTGGCGCAAAAACCTGGAACCCCCGCCCCTTTCCATTTATCTTACCTGATTAAGAAAGTACCTAACCTAAGCCTGTCGTGCACGTTTGCCGAGAGGGTTGCATGCGGTGTGAGACAGGGAGAGAAAAAGCAGGTATGAAGATTGAAGGTCAATCAATTAGATGGTAAGAGATTGAATTGATGCCATCTGGCCAACCGAACGGTTCCTGCTGATAAGTAGCTCTGATTGACCAACGTGAAGAAAAGGATGATCTGGGGATGGTTTCTGGTACACCATAGGGTAGCTCCTTCCACCACCAGGTAGTAAGAACAGTTGCCAACAGAACTTGAATACCGCCTAACTCGGGCTGATTTGCACAGCCTTCAAGTTCTCATCACGTCTTTACCCCTCACTTTCTTGACACCCATCCTGAGCTTTCTCCCCAGACACTTCCACCCATCTCAAAGGCATTCAGATCATAATGCTTTGCGCCAACTGCGGAACCGAGTTTCGAGAGGCTCTCGACTCCATAGACCGCTGGGCGGCCCTCTGGGACGTCTTGCTCGAGCAGCCCGCGTACCAATCCTTCACCCATGGGTTGAACCTGCAGCAAAGTCTGTGCGATTTTCACGGTTCCATTTTACTGGAATGTTTTATCTGTCGACGCATCTGGGCATGTATCTACTCATCGATGCACGAGCGCGGCATCGAGTGCGTCATCCCTGAGACATACAGCGAATTCGCCAGTGAGGTCGGTCATATTGGAGTGGGCGAGCCATTTCCCTCTAGGATCCGTTCCGATGCATGGTTCGAAGATCGGACCTACCAGAATGGCATGGTTGATATGTATGGGTTTGGGCGTGACTCAAGATACCCCTGGGGACTAATCTTCTCTCTACGATCCGTTCAAGAAGGGGAAGACCAAGTTCGAGTTGGAAACATAAGCGTCGAGGCACTTGGCAACTCTACAGCTTCCGTACCTCAGTTATGGAACCACTGGCTTCGAACCTGCTTGAATTCACACCACGTCTGCCGTTCGCTGGAACTAAGAGACGCCTGCCTTCGTGCCGAAGAGGCTCGTCAAGATACTACCGCCCGGCGGAGACCTCAACCAACTGAAGTGGCATCTGGTCTTCCCCAACGGCTCCGAAGCCATTGACTACGTCACGTTGAGTCACTGCTGGGGCTCTCATCAGCCAGCCAACTAACCGCTTCCACGCTCTCCGCATTTTCAAAGGAATGCTCGGTGGAAATTCTACCCAAGACGTACCGGGACGCTCTTGTGATATCCCTTGCGCTCGGGATTCCGCACATCTGAATTGACTCCCTCTGCATCAAACAAAACGACGAGACGGACTGGCTCGAACAATCACCCCGTATGGCATCGATATACGGCAATGCTCGTTGCAACATTGCAGCTGCGTGGGCATCGGATGGCACGTAGGGCTGCTTTAAAAAGAGAGACCCTTTCATGGTCGTGGGAACCACGGTTGAGTCCAGCGGCCATAAAAGGTACCACATCAACGTTAATTGGACGTGGCAAGATGAAGTCACGGATGCGCCCCTCAACCGTCGAGGCTGGGTGGTCCAGGAACGCTGTCTAGCATCGAGGCAGCTTGTCTTCACCAAATCTCAGGTATACTGGGAGTGCGCAGAGCACGTTGCCTCGGAGCAATTTCCGAACGGTCTACCAGAGGGTATGTGGGAAGAGCGCGGCGGTAGTGCGTCACTACTGCCCCCGTCAAACCCGAAGCCGAGGCTGCTTTTTGAGAGTGAACAAGACTGCCGCAAGGCGTGGTGCTCGCTTGTCGAACACTATTCCCGGTGCACCCTCACTCGACCCTCAGATAAGATGATCGCCATAGCGTCACTGGCAGAGTCGCTGCGAAAGCATACAGGCGATACCTACCTGGCCGGGCTGTGGAAAAAGGATCTAGTAGTCCAGTTGTGCTGGCATCGCAACGATTTCGCCGGGGACAATGGGGCGAGCAAGACGCGGAACTAATACGCACCCTCTTGGTCCTGGGCCAGTGTCGACGGATGTATTAAGATGAGCCGGGCGTATCACGAAAGGGGCTCTGATAATATTCGCCTTGCGGAGATCTTAGAGGTCTCAGTCGTGGCGGATGGTCCAACGGATCTACACGGTTTTACATCACCCGAACTACGAACCAGGGCAGTCGCCATGTGGGCCAGGTATATTGAGCTTGACGGGGAACGGGATATGTATAAGGTGACGGTAACATGGTCGGGGCCACCAGGTGAACCTACCACGAGCTCTGTCATGACCGGTCGTCACATCTGGATCGTCTGGGATGAGGATCTGCAACCAGCCGACCGGTTAACAGAGGTTGAAAAGTGGCGCCGTCTACAAGAGCAGCGGGGATCTGAACTTCTCTTGCTCTTTATCGCTCGCTGGGTCTCTCCTGAAATAGCGGAGGGGCTTATACTATCGAGGGCTCCGGATCAAACCGGAAGGCAAATGTTCGTGCGAGTCGGTTACTTCGCTTGCGATGAATGGCTGAATCTGCCACGTTCTCAAGTTGATTTCTCAGATCCTCACCTGGCTGGCTTGGTCAAGATCACGATAACATGACGCTGACCGCCGGACGACGGCCTCCTACCGTATCTTCCGCTTTACAAGTTTTCAACAACCCTTGTTCCACCGGGCGTCAGGGTTGAAGTCCTTTGCGTTCAGGAAGCGGGTTTGTGATGTTTCGCCGGGGCCACTTCCGGAGCCTTGTTTGGAGCCGGCTTCAACGACGAGGCAATCACACATGATCTTGTTGCCGCCCAACGGCGATGGCTTGGATGCCCTGGAGGACGAGCTGCTCGGTCATCTCCTGGCCGATACGGCCGCTAGGTACGACTATGGTTGTCATGTGGTTGGCCATGACAGAACGGAGCGTATAAGAGAATACAAGTAGGTTCGAGTTCGCAAGAGAGAGGGAGGCACGGATATAGCGGACAAGTCCGCGGCGTTAAACCTTGACAAGACAGGAATATGTCTGGTGTGACTGGCAGACCCCCGAATAATCCGCGGAGCTGTGGCACCAGTCGGACATGACCGAGTATAACATCTGCCACTCTACCTCCTTATGATGAGGCTCTCTTGGCCTTTGTCGACCATCCCCCAGCCAGTCCATCTCGTTCACACCTTTTCGCCCCGCTTCACCTATACCATACCGTATATATCCCTCCACCTTTCCACCATGACCGTGACGTTTACCACCCCAAAGCGCCCTCTCACATGGCTCATTACGGGTTGTTCATCGGGCTTGGGTCTTTCCCTTGCGCGACTCGTGCAAGCCAACGGGCACAACCTGATCGCGACCTCCCGTAACCCGGCCCGCACACCCGACCTTGTCGCCGAGGTTGAAAAGTCAGGCGGAAAGTGGCTGGCCTTGGATGTGGACGACAACAACTCCGCCCAGATTATCGAGGATCTCGAGAAAGGCGGCCAGCAGATCGACGTACTCGTCAACAACGCGGGCTACTCCATCTACGCCCCAGCCGAGTCCCTCGCCGAGGAAGAGATCCGCGCGCAGACGGAAACCGTCTACTTCGGACCCTACCGTCTGATCCGCGCCGTGCTGCCGCACATGCGCCAGCGCAGATTCGGCGTCGTGGTCAACATGAGCAGCGGCTCGGCGCTCGAGGGCCGCGACAGCATGGGCGCCTATGCCGCGGCCAAGGCGGCGCTCGACGGCCTGTCGCGGGTCCTGGCCAAGGAGGCGGCGCCCTTTAACGTCCGCGTGCTGACGGTCCAGCTCGGCACGTTCAACACCAACATGGGCAACGCGGTCAAGCTCAGCAGGAACCCGCTGCCGGACGACTACCGGGGGTCGGTGGCCGACCAGATGATGCAGCTCCTGGCCAGTGGCGGGTTCCGGGGTGATGGTGACAAGAATAAGGCGGTCAAGGCCGTCTACGAGGTGGTCGTCGGAGAGGGCGTCGGCGCCGGTCGCGAAGCTGAGCGGCTCCTGCCCTTGGGGAGGGATCTAGCCGCCCGGATCAAGACCGTCCAGGAGTACTACGCCCATGCTATCGAGGTGTTTGGCGAGGTCTGCAACAATGTCTACGAGGAGGGGAAATAAAGGATGAAGGTGGGTTGCGGTTGTGCAATCGAACGGGTACAAAAATTCGTCTCCGAATCTGGCAGTAAGGGCGACCGAGATCGGTCCCAATAGTTTAAAAACCTGCTTAGCAAGGGCTCCGGTGCTACTTCTCAGACTTCTCATCCCCTCCTTGAACCATGCGCATAGTCCGTGCTCTTTCTCTCTTTCCTCCTACCATACACAGCGGAACACCATGGAAGTTCCAGCTCAACTGCCCAATTTTCACAATCTATGCCGTGTATATCGGGACTGGGGAGGGGAAAATGGTTGGAGGTTGAGAAACTAGGAGTGGATGGGGGGAAGGAGGAGGTTGTTGACTATTACTGGAGAGGAGAGTAGGGTTGCGACGCCGGCGTTGTGTGAGGAGGATGCAGAGAGAGGATGGACATTGGCGCCGAGGCGGTGGTTTTGAAGGGGACCGAGCACTGAAACCACACACGACCTAAACATCATCGTCATTAACGGAAGGTATATAAGCAGGGCGGAAAGAGTATATCCAGCCCGGAGTGTCCGAGGTCCTGGCGAGTGGTGTGACCTCACATTGTGCGGTGGACTTCCCTGAGATGTGGCCCGCCATGCAGAAATCGTACCAAGTGTGCGGTTGGGTAAAGGTTTGGGTAGGTACATTGTGAGATCTGGCTCGAAACAGGCTGCTTATGGCGCCCACACGAGTCCTTTTGCTTACCTACCTTAGTTACCTATCTATACTAACATTATAACGCCGAGGACCAGTACACGTATCATCGATGTGGAGGGACGGGACCCTGTCCTGTGCGGGCGGCGTATTTAGGTAGGTATCGGTAACGTAATACTAATAACCTGGCCCTCAGTCCTTGTGCAGCCAACAACACACAAGCGTTGTTGTGTCACCGACTTTCTGAATTTCATCTATCCTTTATCACTTCAATCCTACCCTTCTTTTATCTACTGCCGGGTGCCAGTCACCAAAATCTGCTCATAAGGCACCGAGAGTTCCACCATTTCCACATCTCGGAGGAAACGTCTACGCTGATATTTTCTTCCATGGTGGCCCATATGGATTGTTCATCCCCTTCCCCCGCTTCGCCTGCAACTCTTGATGGAGGTCCTCAGACATCAACACAGCCGGTTAGCAGCCAGGGATGGCCTTCGTTTTCTTCCCTTTCAACTCACTTTTGGTCGCGTTTTGAAGCCATTTTCCTACACGAAAACCCCCTGGCTTCAGCGCATCGCCCCCGAAATTCTCCGTCCGGATTTCACCTGGCCGCTCCAACGCCTCGGTGACCGTCCCCTCGCTAGCCGGATCACCCCGTGCCCTCCTCCTCTTGCACCGGGCTTATTATTATGGCTCCGCATCATCGGTCGATGTCACGCTTTCCTCCAAGACTTCTCCCGCTACTACTGTGCGTGGTTCGGGTTCCCGCACAACCACGCCATGTCAGCGCTGCCATTCGGCTTGCTCCTTAAGTGGTCGGATGGGACGTCACTGGACGAGGTCAACGCCACACGCGCGGTCCGCGCAGCGGGAATTCCGGCACCCAAGGTCATTAGCTGCGGCGTACACCCGGAGAAGCCCTAGGCGCCCGTGTCCATCCTGATGACCCGTTTGCCCGGACTGGAGCTGGGCGACGTGCAGGATTTTCTCGAGGAGGAGGAGAAGGAGACAGTCGAGCGTGAGCTCGGCGTGATCCTGGAGATTATGCGCTCTTGGCCGAATCCCGTGGGGCCGAAACAGGATCTGTAGCATCTCAGGGGGCGCTATCCGTAGCGTGCGCGTGCCGAACCACAAGGTCGGGCCGTGCGACTCGGAAGAGGAATTCACGAAGTATCGCCTGAGCATCGCGTCGTCACACTCGTTCAAGACGAAGGAGGAGTTTGACCGGACACTCGCTGCAAGGGCGGAAGATGGAGGAACTCAAGCACACGATTGTGTTTTCGCACGGCGACTTTTACATGCACAAGATCCTGGTGCATGAGGGGCATGTGTCCGGGTTGATTGACTGGGAGACGGCGGGCTGGTATCCCGAATACTGGGAGTTTACGACGCCGCTACGGTGGGCTTCGCTGCTTCATGAGTGGAGAGGGATGCTGCTACGTCTAGGCGGTGATAAGTATGCCAGGGAGCTCGAGGCGGAGCAGGCTATTGGGAAGCTGACTGTTGACTCCTGGATCTGGTAGCGCGCAGGATCAGTCCAGCGTTGGACGCCCAATGGTACATGCATTGTCAATGAGTCTTCAGTTTCAGACTACACAAGCCCTAGTGCATTCTGCCAGCGGACTGTAACATATAAGATAGGTTGCCTTCGCTATACTATCGACAAGCGACGCCCAGAGAGAGCCGACATGGTCACGACGGCCTATATCGATCTCCTGCGACCCCTGACGCGCCCCGGTACGAGAACCTCTATGCAAACGGCAGGGAGGAGCCGAAGGAGAGCGACTGGTAATGGATGTACTGCTTACTACTGGGCACGAACAGAATAAACGAGCAGGTAGAGGATTCTGGGTTCTTGCTTCCCTAGATGTGTGGAGTCCCACCTAACGGCGAACGGGAGTGTGAGCTTGTCTATATGCGCCTAATGAAGTCATGGTATGCTCTTGCTTACCTAATCGCTCATCTGCGGCCAGTTTTACCTTGTATGCCGATGGATGGATCATGAGGTAGGTACAAGAACGAATCAACCATCTTATGCGGGAGTCAGGAATGCTGACCACCTTCGCTGATTTACACCACCCAATCGCTTGAAAAGAGTCGCCCTACCACAACACAGTGAGGACAGTGCAGCGGAACACTCCCATTGGCTTTATTAGTAAGGGGCTTCATCCCGGAGTCCTCCGGGGTCGGATTGGTAGACTCGGAGTTCTCCGACCCAGAAATTCCGACCACAGCTACGTACAGAACATTCGAGTCTGGAATGTCAGCGGTCTTTCAGTTTCACCAAATATGTTTGTATAAAAGCAAGTAGTCATATTCATACTTCCTCACAGGCGTTCCAACGTGCTTCTCACCATAAATGGTAGTGGTACTGACTGTTCCCCTGGGCCCCATCCTACCAACAATCTACGACCGTGTTTCTGGCTTTTTTTTATCATAGATTCGAGAGTACCCTACGCACATCATGGCTGCCACTGCCGACATATCAAAATCATACATCCCGCTCGCCGGCTGCGCGAGCGATGGCTGGTCCACCGAAGACGAAGCCACCGCCACATGTTTCTGCGGCGCCGTGCAACTAGCCTTTGTAAGTTCGGAGTGGTCGTCTAAGATAAAAAGCCCTTACTGACCCCGTCTATTACTATTTTATTACCAGCCAACCCAAGGCCCAGGCCTCGTCAACACCTTCGTGTGCAACTGCACCGACTGCCGGAAGATTACGGCGTCCATGTTCGCCTCCAACTTCACCGTGGCCGACACCCATCTAAGACACGTGCGCGGGCGCGAGAACCTCAGGATCTTCGCCCAGTCGCAGACCATCGCCTCGGGCCACCTCATGACCAACTACTTCTGCGCCACGTGCGGCACGCTCATGTACCGCGTCGGCGCGGCCTTCCCGGGCCGCAGCATCCTCCGCCTCGGCACTGTCGACGATTTTGCTCTGCACGAGACCAAGCTCCGCCCGCGGGTAGAGCAGTTTACCAAGGACCGGGTTGCTTGGTTCGCCGGCGTGGAGGGCGCTCGGGAGTTTGAGGGTATGTCTAGCTGAGGTCAGGAGGTATGGGGTGCCTAGAGTTTGAGGGCTGCGGACGGAAAAGTTCTATTCTAAGTTGTGTTGGATGTACATACAATACAATACCTACACACAGGAGTACAGGATATGATATACACAATCAAACATACAATTCAACACTGGCTGGCTTTGTTAGCGGGAGATTTGTGGGCTTGTTTTAGTCCTAAGTTCACACACGTAGGTACGTACTATAGTTGAACTACTACTAGTAGTTACCTTACATAGTGATGACCACGGACGTCTGCATATTACGTACATGTGTACTGCAAAATATACGACCACTACTAAATATGTAACGTGTTCATTACATCTAAGCCCGATCTGTCAGAGAACTCGTAAGTTACCTGCAGCTATTTCCGCGCGATGAAACCTAACCCCTTTTCTCCGAGACCAAGTGGACTCTGTGGAGTGCCGTGGTCTCACGAGTGACTAGAGCAAGGAAAAGACTAGGCAAACCGCCTTTCTCCTGAACATGTAGTCGTACGGAGAGTATGGTGCGGTGAAAGTATTCTATAGATTAATTATCCCAGACTTCTCAAGATGTCCAGATCTTGTACCGTTTGCCTGAAGTCGCCCCCTGAGGTGACTCTGAAAAAATGCGCCAAGTGCTCGGTCACACCCTACTGCTCTCGCGACTGCCAGAAGGCCGACTGGAAGGCCCACAAGAAGACATGCGGCAAGGGCAGTGTTCCGTTGCCGACGGCTGACACGGCCCTCTCGCCGCCCAAAGGGGTCGAGCAGCCCATCGCAATACCCTTCACCCGCCTCAACGAAGGCACTTGGCTGCACGACCGCCCCGAGGAGGACGTCTACCGCCTCCTCATAGACGCCTACCGCCTGCGCGTGGAGGACGACTACACGTTTGACGGTGACGTCGACGACGACAGCCTCTATGGAGGGGCCTCCAGCGGATTGGCAGGCTTCCGGCGCTTCCTTCACCTCGCCAGGCAGAGGGAGGATCTCCTTCCGCCATGGTGGAGTGACGAGAAGCGGCGGGAGTGCGAGGCGTTCGGCATGGCTTCGTCCGGGCACTTCCAGGACCTGCGCTGTGCGGTGGAGAAGGGCGACATCATCGAGCACTACGGCGACCCGCGCTTCCCAATGCAGCTGCGCATGTTTGCCGAGGCCGTCTACGGCCGTGGTCCGGGAGGCCAGGATGGGACGCTGATGAGACAGATGATGGTGGCTATGGAACAAGGGACTGCAGGGCCGTTTGCCTCGTTCGCGACGATGGACATGCGCACGGGATCGTTTAGCGGTGTATAGCCAAGAATAGGTACCTTGGCTGTGCAACATTGTACAGTGCTATTCGCTCGTCTCGGCAAGGTTAGATCAGACTCGGATGCCGAAATGAATCGAAGGAAGGAAGAAGAAGGACGTCAAGGTTCATTAAGGGGACCACGTTGTCACTTCTTCCGTCTTGTTGCTGCGAAGCTCCAAACTTGCGAGCGGTTGTCTTGGCTCGTCTGCACGTCCCGACTTGTCAAGACCATTGATCTGTAGTGCAGACTACCATAGCTGAGCTGCTGTCTTTGGTCCACGGTCCCCATAGGAAACCGCCCTTCAATCAGCGTGAGAGTCTGGGGTTGGTTCTACTGTGGCAAGTGCATACAACCGGCCCGAGATACAGACTGTAATAGAGCAACGTAATGGCTTGGTATAACCGTGGCTAGATCATGGTATCGGTGATACCACATTCTTTTTCGTCTTTTTCTCGTTCTGCTTTCTCCTTCTCCTTTCTTCTTCCTCTTTTTTTTTTTTTTTGATTATATCACGGAAGAGTGAGCAGAATTACCTTAACCATCGTTTTACATTACAAGGTACGGCAGCGGAACAGACCTCGCTTCACCAGACTCGGGAGACCGCGATGTCATCCTTAGCTAAGCCATCCAGAATCCCACAACACTTCCGAAACCTGTATCATGAACCACCAACGATCCCAACCACCTACGTCTCTCGGCGCACAAGGTATGTCGCCTCCTCCCCATAACCGCGCAGTTTCTCCCGCATCACCTCATCCACTTGGCCCGGATCAGGGGCCTCAAAGCCAAACCTCTTCCAAAACAACACCGTCCCATACACCGAAATAAGACACACAGTATCGTACCCCAACCCCCTCGCAACATCCAACACCCTCCCAACCGCGTCCCTCGCAGCTCCCCTCCCCCGAAAAGCAGGCAAGATCGCCAAGTCATGCAAATAATACTGATCCGCGTCCGGCGGGATCTCGCCCAGCTGGCTATTCAAAGCCGGCGGCTTGCCCCGGCGGATGGGGAAGGACATCACGTAGCCTCCTATCTCCCCCCTCCTGCTGTCGCTACACAGCACGAAGCAGCCGGTGGGGAAGAGGCGCAGGCGCTCGCGGAAGACGGTTTCGCTCTCGGGGAGCGCGTGGTGGATCTCGTTTGCTATGCGCATTACCGAGGGGAGGTCGGAGGGGCGCATTTGGCGCCAGGTGGACATTGTTACATTTCTTTTTATAGTCTCGTTGTTGTTTTCTGATGGCGGTGCTTTCGAAAAGGCGGGTGCTGATGGTGTCGAAAGTGTAGTCTAGAGTCTTGGAGTCTAGAGTCTAGACCTGCTGGCTTGATGATGCGGGTGCAGGTGAGTCGATTTCCTTGATCGGTATTCGGTAGGTGTCTAGACTTCACTGAGAACGGTTCAGCCGAGGATTGTGAGAGCCGGGCGCAGGATTGGGAGGAGAGGCTTCTGTTTGACTACTACTAATCGTGATGCGGAGTACCTGTCTCCACTTAATCACGCAAGGGAACCGGTCTACTGTGATAAGGGTCCAGAGGTTGCTCTGAAAGCAACTCCGGTCATGTCACGGACATCTCGTCGGGATGGGCTAACCATAGAACGGGCCGTGAAGAAAGCGAGAACGAACGTTGCAGCATCCCGATAACTGAACAGTCTCATTCTAACCAGTGCTATGCCCCTTTCTCTCTTCCCTAATGTAGTAGGTAGTTTTTACCCAACCTCTAGTAAAACCCAGTAACTCCAAAGTCCAACCCCCTAATAAGCCCAATCGTCTGATCCGCGTAAATGCATCAAGGCCCAAAAAAAAAAAAAAAAATTCACAAAAAGCTCTGCTTGACCGTAACAGCGGTGGTGTAAACCATGCCAACAACTCCAAGAACCATCATCACCAGATCGCCCGCTCTAACCGAGCCCTTGCTCGCCACCCCTCTATAATGCAAATACGCAGGATAGATATACACCAGCGGCACGCACGCGACACTGCCGATCAGCGCGACAAAGCGGTCCAAATTCCCGGCGCCCGCAGCCGACACCAGGCCGCAGAAGACAACGACGGCGAAGCGGAAGGCGTTCTTGACCCACTTGATGCGCAGGCTGCGCTTGCCGGAGCGGCGGTGGCCAAAGATGCGGCCCTCGACGATGCGCAGGGCGGGGAACAGCTGCACGGGGGTGCCGACCAGGATGGCGACGGCGTACAGCAGCTGCACCGCGTTGACGAGCGGGCTGGTCTGCGGGAAGTTGTTGATGATCTCGATCTGGGTGCGCTCGCCGAAGGTGGCGTAGCACAGCGCGCCGACCGAGGTGAAGACGACGGTGATGATGAGCATCACGAGCCCGAGTAAAGGTTCGAAGTGGTGCGGCTGCGCCATGGACGACTGGATCGGCAGGACCAGGCCGATGCCCTCGAAGGTGAAGATGGCGGCGCCGATGGTGAGTGTGTACATGGACGGGTTGAAGGCCACGACGGTTGGGTCGACGCCGCGCGACGAGAGCGACGTCGACGTGAACCAGTAGATGTAGGCCACGCCGACGAGGATGCACGCGTCCGCGAGCAGGGCCACGGGGCCCAGCTTGGAGATGTTGCGGATCCAGGAGAGCGGGACGAGGAAGATCAGCTGTATGGCGATCAGGCCGGCGGTCGTGAAGGGGCTCGGGCCGGCGGTGACGGCGTCGAAGAAGGTGGCCAGGTTCTCGGCCACGAAGACGATGCCCGCGCAGACGAAGCCCAGCTGCGAAAGCGCGATGGAGAAGAGGATGAGGTTGCGCATCCTCGGCCCGGCGACTGCGTGTCCGATTTCGCCGTAGCCACCGCTGTAGTGCAGCTTGCACTGCAGCAGCAGGTGGAAGGCGACCATGGTGATGGCCGACACGGCCAGCATGGTGACGGTGGAGAAGAGGATTCCGCCGTTGCTGAAGGCTTTGGGCAGGAACATGATGCCCGTGCCGATGAAGGCTTTCATCAGCGTGAAGAAGGTTTTGAGCGTGCCGGCTCTGGCCGAGGGCGCGGCCCGGGCAGAGCTGATCCGGTGGTGGTGTCGGAGCAGGGGCCTCTGTTCGGCAGCTTCCTCGTCTGCTCCCCCCTCTTCTTCTTCGGTAATGGCCTCCTCATCCGTGTCCACAAGGTCCTCGCCAGCGAAGCTCCCGTACAGGTCGAGGAACTCGACGAAATTCCTGGTGATGGGCAGGCGGCGGGCCAGAAAATCGTCGCCGTGCCGCTGGCGAAGGAATGCGCGGCGGAACCCGCCCGGGGCAAGCTGGTCGCCGACCGACATGGCGGGGGCGACGTCGTCGTCCTGGCGGAATTCCCTTGGCGAGTGGAACGTTGCTGCGCGCCGGTGCATCTGCGCGCGGGCTGCCGCGTCCAGCTTGAAGAGGTCCCGGTGCATGTCGCCCCCCTGCAGCTTCAACGAGTCCTTGGGCGGCCGAGGCTCCTGCTCCGATCCCGAGCCCGACGCCGAAGAAGCGGAGCCATCTCCGGCGCCGGGCGTCGGCGGATGCAGCTCGGCCGTGTACCCGGAGGGAAGATGCTCGGCCACTACCTGGGCCTGGGCTTCGATGGAGCCTCGTAATAACGGCGCGCTGTCGGACATGGCGGGCGGGCACGAAGGGTGTGGTCAATCATCAGGCTTGACCGCTGGAAAGTTTCGGTGTGGTAACTGGTTGAATGGGCAACAAAAGCGGCGGCGTTGTTCGATTTGTCTCCAAAATGATGTCACTCACCAATGAGGTTAGCGCTGGAACACGCCAAGGCCGCCGGTAGTGTACGGAAGCCAGCTTCTTATTCGCATGGAAAATGAGATTCAGTCCCGATACGTGCGTACCTACACTGATTCTTACTATATGCATCCCATGAATGTTGACCTTCGCCATTTACTGTAGCATTCCCAGCGCCTGCTCCGCCGAGATGCGCGTCTCTGGCTGGAACCGCATCAGCCCCTGAATAATGGGCAGAAGGCGTCGCAAGCTCGTGTCCTTGACTCGCGTCCTGAATTTTGCCTCTAGCTTCGACGGCCCTTGCCACTGACCTGTAGCAGTTTTATGTTGAGCGAGCCCAATCTATGCATTGTGGATGGAAGGGGGAACCATGATCTTACGTAGTAAGTCCTTTCCAGCGTTATGTCTCCGTGCTTCCCACTGACGTCGCCAGGCCACTGGCAAGTCCTCCACAAAATGTATCATCTGCGCTACCACAACGTCTACATCCCCAAGAGACTGGAAGGGCCTAGCACCGAACACTAGGGTGTATATCTGTGCGGTTTTATTGGACACACAGCCTTCGCATCTTGGTCCATGGCTCCTGTATGAAAGGGGTGTCTTGCCAAGCATCCCGCTCGCCAGAGGTCGACCCTGTAGTCAAACCTCCCGGTAAATATTCTTTCGGGCACCTCCAATCCAGGCGGTTCGGCAAGCTGGTGGTGTTCGGCGCCGTGAGCGAATGCCTCGCCGAAATCAATGAGACGGACATCCTCCTTGTCCTCATCAATCCACATGTCCCAGCCAGCCTTTTGAACCAGTTGCTGAGGCATGGAACGGTGGTGCGGCTTCCGGTCGCAGCGAACAAGTTGCTCAGTGACTGGGGCACCAATGACCTCAAACATCTCTTTGGCCGACAACTTTCGGAGCTTGTGAGCAGTGAAAACTAAGTTTGCTCCACTGATATATGCCTGAATCACTGTCCGCACGATTATTCTTTTAGCGTAGGAATGCTGCAAGAAGAAAACGAACCCCCGTGCGCATAGCCCGCTCTGTGCATAGCTGCAAGGGCTCGTAAGAGCTGCCCCGTGATTTTCAGGATAGTCGCGGGTTTGAGGTGGCCTTCTTCGTCCGGCTCTTCATCGTCCCGGTAGTCACTGACCACGTGGTCAACCGTAGGCCCGAGGAGTTCGAAGACGAGATATGCATGTGTCCCGTCAGGTCCCTGATGAACGAAGGAGTCGAGTAGCTGGACGACGTGTCCTACACCAGCGTCCTTCAACTTCCTAAGAACGGTCAACTCTCGAGAGGACTCGGTGCTCGTGGCTGTCACAATTTTTAGGGAAACCCATCGTTTGAGTCTGTGAGGGAGCCACGCAACGTCAGTACACCCCCCGAACTGTTTCTTGCGTACAAGGTATAAGTACAACTACAGCTTGCCAGCAGCAGGTACATACGATTGGTCGATTGCGAGCCAGACAGTCGAGAAGCCGCCGTAGCCCAGCTTATGGTACACTTTGTAACGGCCGGATTTGAATATGTCGCCAAGCTTGCCGGGATGAAAGCCACCTGGGCGGTAGCGACTCATTCTCTCCTGGGTGTAGAGAAGATCCGATTGCACGAACTGGTCGAGATCGTCCATGGCGGAGAACAATCGATGGAATTGAGAAAGACGCTGGCGAGAGACGATGACAAGGTTTGGCCCAGGCTTTCCAGTTTGGTGCCATGGGCGACTTACACGCAGCACAGTGTAAACTGCTCGCTGTTAGCACCGTTCACTTTTCTATAACTGTTCCCTTACTTGCCCAGGAGAAAGTCGGCTCCGAGTGCTTCCCACCTGGCTTATCGAACTATATAGGTCCCGCATGACTAGATGCTCAATGCCGAGTATCTTAGGGATTTAATCCTAGGTGGTAAGTAATGCGCCCAAACTACGGAATACTGTAGGCAAGAGATATTTGGTGTTGAGTCATCTGTCGATAACAAGCCGAATCGCTGCAATCGCACGTGGCATGCATCCGACTCCACCCATATTTTGCAATGAATCACACAGCAACAGAGCTCCGATCTTGCACCGACAACTGGAACAACACAATCCTCGACAAACATGGCTCCCACCACGGCACCCGCCCTCCTCTGGGGTGGCCGCTTCACCGGTACGATCAATCACATAGACCGAGTTCATGTATTTCTCGAGCTAACCGCAAGCTTCTCATGGCCAGGCGCAATCGACGATCTGATGTTCCAGTTCAACGAGTCGCTCTCGTTCGACAAGGTCCTCTACAAGGCCGACATCCAGGGCTCCATCACCTGGGCCAAGGCGCTGCGCAAGCTCGACATCCTGTCGGACGAAGAACTTGACAAGATCGTGTCGGGCCTGAAGCAGGTGGAGAAGGAGTGGGAGGAGGGCAAGTTCGTCATCGACGCCAAGTCGGACGAGGACATCCACACGGCCAACGAGCGCCGCCTCGGCGAGTTGATCGGCTCGGCCGCGGGCAAGCTGCACACAGGCCGCTCGCGGAATGAACAGGTCGGCGTCGACATGCGCCTCTGGGCTGGCGAACAGCTGACCGACATCGCTGGGGCACTGAAGGACCTCCTCTCGGTCAGCGCGTCGAGGGCAAGGGAGGCGCTGCCCATCCTGATGCCGGGGTACACACACTTGCAGCGCGCCCAGCCCGTGCGCTTCTCGCATTGGCTCCTGTCGCATGCGACGTTCCTGAAGGGCGATCTGGAGCGCCTCCAAGGCGTGCAGGAGCGTGTCTCGGCCTGTCCGCTGGGCGTGGGCGCCCTCGCCGGCAATCCCTTCGGCATTGACCGCGAGTTCATGGCCAGGGAGCTGGGCTTCCGCTCGGTGCACCCCAACAGCTTGTGCGCCGTGGCCGACAGGGACTTCGTCGTGGAGATCCTGCAGTGGGCGAGCCTCCTGATGGCCCACCTCAGCCGCCTCGCCGAGGACTTGATCCTCTTCTCGACGGCCGAGTTTGGCTTCGTGCAGGTTGCTGATGCCTACAGCACGGGCAGCAGTCTGATGCCGCAGAAGAAGAACCCCGACAGCCTGGAGCTGATCAGGGGCAAAGCTGGACGGGTCATGGGACAGGTATGCTCCACTCCCGGTCGGCCCCCCCCAACGTATCGCGCAACTGATACTCACAACGATGGTAGGCGTCCGGCTTCCTCGCTTCGCTCAAGAGCCTCCCCACCTCCTACAACAAGGACCTACAAGAATCAGTCGAGCCGATGATCGACTGCATCAAGACGGTCTCCAACTGCGTGCGCATCACCCAGGGCGTGCTGGCCACGCTCAAGATCAACGGCGACAAGATGAAGGCCGCCCTGACGGACGACATGCTCGCCACGGACGTGGCCGACTACCTCGTCCGCAAGGGCGTGCCGTTCCGGCAGACGCACCACATTGCCGGCGCCATCGTGCGCAGGGCCGAGGAGGCGGGCGTGTCCATCTCGGCGCTGCCGCTCCAGGACCTGAAGGACATCTCGCCGCTCTTCGAGGACGACGTGGCCCAGGTGTTTGATTTCGAGAAGAGCGTCGAGCGGAGGTCCACGATTGGCGGCACAAGCAAGAGTTCGGTACTGGCGCAGATCGATGCGATCGAGGCTTATGTGGCGAAGAATTAGGGGTTCGCGCCGCAGGACGGGGCCTCGGATGCACCTCAGGCGTCTGCGGAACAGTGGTTGCAGCTGACGCATCGTGAATCGAGGGACGGCCGGTCGTGCTAGATAGCGGATAAAGAGCAGATATACATAAAAAAGGGAATGGCCCACGCCGCTCTGAGAGGACAAAAAGAGCTCAATTCACTCGATATCCGTGCCCATGACGAAATCTAAAACGAAGGCGACTGTGCAAGGCTCTAAGCTGGCGGTGGCAGGTCAGGGTACTAGTAGTGGTCAATTATCGGCAGGCAGTTGCTCAGGGTTAGTACCTACCTAGGTGGTTAGCGTCAGCTCTGACGCGTCGACCAGACGTGCCTTGGCCGGGGTCGTAGTCAGGATCCCGGCTAGAGGTTAGGATCACTGATTAGGATCAGGGTCTTGGGGAGAGGGGGGACGGGGGAAGGGCGTTGTGTGACATCTCTTGTGTTGTTGATTTATCGCCTTCGATATTGTTGATATCTTTCGCCAAGTCCCTGGGAAAAAGTCTGTATGGTCCCTGCTGACGTCTAACGTTATAGCCACCTAGTATGGAAGAACGAGTCTAGGGATTGGACAGTGTCATTCCTTGGAGTCGCGGCGCTACCTTATCAGCTTCAGGCGTGAGGTGGCCAGTTGACACCCATGGAAGACGGGGGAACGAACTGGGTACACTAGAGCAGTATAACAGGCCTGAGGCAGCAGGACTACTAGGGCTCGAGGAGGCAAATGAAACAGCGAACAAATGCTAGAACTAAATACTTGACAAAGAGACGCTGCATACACAGTACAGTGTTACGATGATCTGCTCGGTTGCTGGGTGGAACAGTCAAGTTTCAACCGGGCGCCTTCTCGATGAAAATGGATGAAAGCAGCAACACCTCAGGGTGTCAGGGCGTGGCAAGTGCAGGCAATCGGACACCCAGCTTCCAGACACCGAGGCCTCTCGGGACCTCACAGACCATTGCGAACTTGAACCCTGAAGGTAGATCACTACCAGCTGGGCTCCCATTCACTCGCTGCCGTCACTGTGGGCTTCTCGGTCAATTGAACCATGGCATCAAATAGCACCTTTGGCATTGCTGCAAAGCTGCTAGGCTACTTGGGCCTGGTCCAAGAAACTGCGTCTCTTGACACTGGGTGCAGCAGTGGTGGTTTGATCACTGCCTTTTGGCAGACTAGTACTCATCAAAGCACTACCAGCGACGGGATCATGATCAAACATGCTACCCCTTCAGTTTGCATTTCCAAGATAACACGAACGTATCTAAGAGGAACCATTCTGGATAGGTAAGGTAGTTATCTCTGTGTCTATCAGCACTCGGAAGGCGGTAAAGGCTCAGAGAGTTAGTCACTTGACACAAAACAAGACTCAATCGTAGTGGAACATGTTGAAACTGCTCAGCGGGCCCGGGTGAGGATAATGCCCCAGTTCAATCTGACATTTACAACGGCTCCATGGTATCATAGTACATTTCTGTCCACCCCCTCTCGCAAAACGAGTGCTTCTCATCAGAAAAGGAGAGAGCAAAAAGCCAAAACCACAACTCCGCTATGCTCCGCTTGTACTTGATACAAAGCATCAACTCCATCCAGCCCAGAAAGGAAGGAGAGTACGGTGGACTGCAACTGTCCCTCCACCATAGACTCTCGAATAACCTATGGCTTCATAAGCCCCATCAGCCTCTCCGGCCTTCTCGTGACGACTCATGCGGTCGCCGCCTCCAGCTTTTGGCCAGTCCCTGCGAGGTTGGTTGGCTTAACGTTTGGGTTTTTCTTGTAATAGTTGTTGATGGCCGACTTGATAGCATCCTCAGCAAGCATGCTGCAATGGAGCTTCACAGGCGGCAGGCACTGATTTAAACGGTCAGAAAGGTTATCGGTACCTCTGGCGGGGAAAGTGAACATACCAACTCCTTCGCGATCTCAGTATTCTTGACCTTCGCGGCCTGTTCAAGGGTCATGCCCCGCACGAGCTCTGTAAGATAACTAGATGAGGCACTGTACAAGGTTAGCATGCTAGAACATGCATCGAGGGTAGAATATCATAGGGCAGGTTGGGGTGCCCAAGGCCCATGGCGGACCGACAGCAGCAACAGAAGCCGGGGTGACCCGAGGCCTCGTCAAAAGCCAAGTCATCTCCGCGATGGGCCTCCTTCGTTTCAAAGTCCACATCCCGTCCCCCGCGGAGGTCCGCGGACAACCCCGCCACCATTTCAAACCTGCAAAGCCACGACAAGCAGAGGAAAAGATCATCTTACATTGCAGAGCCGCATCCAAAAGTCTTGAATCGAACATCGCTGATGACTTGCGTCTCGGGGTCGACCTTGATATGGAGCCGCATAACATCGCCACACTGTCGGCATCAATGTATTAGCCCTCGTTCGGCAACTCGAAGGGCGGAAGAGAAATACGCACAGCCGGCGCGCCCACCAATCCTTCACCAACCGACTTATCCGACTTGTCTAGGGTTCCGACGTTCCGGGGACGAGCATAGTCTGTTGCGGAACAGCGTTAGCCAAACCGGAATCCCAAAGCGACAGCAGTACGAAAGGACAGGATGGGAGACGCACGATCGAGGACTTTCTCGTGGTAATGCCGCCTCTGTGGTTGCGCGACCCGCGGCGCAATCTGTCGGCTCAACGGGGCGGCGATTGGACGAACCGAGGTCGCCAGAGCCCTGGTAGAAACGGCGCGGACTGTTCTCGAGAACATATTCGCTGTCGCAGTGGTCTGCCGTGGTGATGGGTATTGAAAGCCGTGGATGTCGTGATGTCGGAGTGCAGTTTGGATACCAATATTAAACTGTGAAGCGTTGCTTTGTGTTTGCGAATGGAGGAAGAAACGGGTCGCCTAATAAAAGTTCCTGGGGATGCGGGACTTGGAACTCTATGACCGAAGGGGCGATTTCCGGCACTGGACCTGGCCCGTGCTCCTTAACAGAAGTGGGTCACTTCCAAGGCTAAATTCTGTTCGCTTTGTTAGGGACGAAAGGGCCAATGCATGCTGCAGCATCGGCCTTGGCGGGTGGACGTCATTCCGAGGTCGGCATATCCGGACAGTGGAGCATCGAAATGTCCGCATCCGCGGAGATAAGATCATCTGATAACGGAAAGCCGAGCTGAGATCTCGTAACACAATCCTCTCCACAAATCAGCCATGAGGTTACGGGTGGTATCTAGCTCGGAGAAACGAACTGGACATGGCAACTTCCAGAATCTTTGTCCGACCACACGAAGTGCGTAACGCCACGAGGAGATGCGATCGTTGATCGCTATCGATATGCGAAGTATGAATGCCATTCCGCTCACGATGGCAATGCGAGAAATTGCCTGACAGTTGGCCCGGACCGCTGGGGTTGCTGGCTGCCAACTCGGCCAGCTGCCACAAGTCTCTGCATGTGCCATCAATCGCGGGGCTGCGTTGTTGCCCCGCGTCTCAGCTTACCAGGCTACATCCACACGCGACCCCAGAGCTAAAGCTACCTAGTATTCCTACACTGTAACACCCAAGTAAGCTCGACTTGATTTTGACCTTCACACATCATCATCCTGCCGCCCAGGAGAATTCGGCACACAAGTTTTAAGACATGGCGTGTCCGCATGTTGCCGCAAGCAGTAGGCATTGTCACTCCGTCTCCCGTGCATTATTTCAACGCTGACTTCTCAACAGACCTCTCCAAGCCGACGTACGCAGATTCGGTGTATCGTGAGGACTGTACCCAATGCTTCGATTCCATCGTTCGTGTGGTCCCGATCTGTACTCCACTTACCGCTTCCGCTGACAGGAGCAGGATGACCGGGCTGGGCTGGATGTCTGCCTCAAGTGCTTCAACGGAGGGTGCGCAGGCGATCGCAACCATGCCAAGCTGCACAGCGCCGCCCGCAAGCACCCCCTCGTTGTCAACATCCGCCGCACCCGCAAGCAGGTCGCTCGAGACGAACCGCCACTGAAGATGACGAAGCTCGCCATCGCCGCCGAGACGGAAGCGGACCGGTACGACACGACGCTCACTGTCAAATGCCTCGACTGCGGGATCGACAACATCGACATGACCGACACCGCCATTGCTTCGACGGTGGAGAGCATCATGAGCGCAAACACGTTCTCGCGAAAAGAGGAGGTCAAGGCGTGGGAGCAGGAGCTGACCAGCTGCGAGCACATCCTCACGCTGCAGCAATACCCGCCACGGCAGATTGAGTCGCAGAACTTGGGGCACTGTTCCAAGTGCGAGCTGAACGAGAACCTCTGGCTCTGCTTACAATGCGGCAATCTCGGTTGCGGTCGAGCGCAGTTTGGAGGTGTGGGCGGGAATTCTCACGCGCTGGCACATTCCAAAGAATCCGGCCATGGCGTGGCCGTCAAGCTAGGGTCGATCACGCCCGAGGGAAATGCCGATGTATACTGCTACTCCTGCGACGAGGAGCGCGTCGACGAAGACCTCGGCACCCACCTAGCCAACTGGGGCATCATCCTGTCGGAGAGGCAAAAGACAGAGAAGAGCTTAACCGAGATGCAGATCGAACAGAACTTGCGCTGGGAGTTCTCCATGACGACTGAGGATGGAAAAGAGCTGACTCCGCTCTTCGGCCCTGGCTTGACGGGCCTCAAGAACCTGGGAAACAGCTGCTACCTGAACAGTATCCTCCAGTGTCTCTACGACATGCCATCCTTCCAACAACGCTATGGAGGCGGGGTCGAGTCACCACCTGACTCGTTGAACCCTGCTGAAGACCTGGAGACGCAACTGCTCAAAGTCGGGGACGGTTTACTCTCCGGCCGTTACTCCAAGCCAGACTCGGATGTGATTGTCTCGGAGCATACCCCCGAGACTCCCCACCAAAAGGGCCTCCAGCCCTCCATGTTCAAGCACCTGATCGGCCGTGGACATGCCGAGTTCTCTACCATGAATCAGCAGGATGCCTTTGAGCTCCTGCAGCATCTGATCAAGCTCATCAGCCGATCGAACCATCAGTCAAGCAGTGGCGATCCCACGCAGTCGATGCGTTTCCTGATGGAGCAGCGACTGCAGTGTCTGGGCTGCAAAAAGGTTCGCTACAGCAGCGTTGAGCAAGACAGCATCTTCATCGACGTGCCGCTCGAGAAGCTCCCTGCCGAGGAGGGCCAGTCGCCCAAGTACAGGCCGGTCGAGTTCAAGGAGTGTTTAGACCGCTTCACAGCGCCTGAGGTCGTCGAACTGACCTGCTCCGCATGCGGCAGCAAGGAAGGGTTCCAGAAGCGCCAATTGTTCAAGACTTTCCCCGAAGTCCTGGTCGTCAATGCGCGCAAAATGACGGTGGAGAACTGGGTCCCCATCAAGATCGACGTTCCCGTGCTGGTTCCGGATGAGCCCTTCCCTCTGGATCCATATCTCTCCAAGGGACAGCAGCCGGAGGAGGAGCTGTTGCCCGAGGAGGCCTCGCCGGCAAGCAATGTACCTGCATTTGCACCAAATCCCGAAGCTCTGGCGATGCTCGAGGCCATGGGATTCCCGAGAGTTCGTTGCGAGAAGGCCTTGCATGCTACGGGCAACAGCGATGCCAATGCGGCAATGGAGTGGTTGTTTGGCCACATGGATGATCCGGACATTGACACTCCCTTGGACCTGGGCGGTAGCGGCGCCTCCACGGAGTCAGCTGCTGCCGCTGCCGCCGCCGATCCCGTGAAGCTTGCGCAGCTGGAGTCAATGGGTCTCGGCGGGCCACGCGCAATCAAGGCGCTCAAGGAGACCAACGGGGATCTCGACAGGGCGGTTGAGTGGTTGTTCAGCCACCTGGATGACCCAGGCGAGTCCGAGGAGACTGTGAATGCCGGCGGCGAGGGGGAGAACAAGAGCGCGACCGAGTCAGGAAGCAGCACCCTCCCGGCGAACTTTCAGCTCCAATCCATTGTGTGCCATAAAGGGACCAGCATCCATACTGGGTAAGCAAGACACCCCGATGTCGATGTTGGTTAACTGACTGATTGTGCTAGGCATTACGTGGCTTTCATCCGCAAAAGGCTTGGCGACGAGATTTCGTGGGTGCTGTTCAACGACGAGAAGGTGGCCAAGGTGGTGGATGCGAACGAGATGAAGCAATTTGCCTACATCTACTTTTTCAAACGGGTTTAGGAGTCTGGGGCGGTCTGTCAGGGGTGTCGGAGCATGCCGCCGGAGGCACAACGGGGTTTGGGCAAGACGTACTCGTAAGGTATTGTACGTTCGTAGAGAAAAGCATGATGTGGAGCATTACCGGCGTGAGCTGTCCGATATAAACGGAACCAAAGATACCGACCCAGGTAGCCATAAACAACGCGCAAGTACCAGGTATGCTCACACAGCCGTCGACCTCCTTTCCCATATCCCGTAGTACCCTACAGAGTTACCCATGCCATCCAACTCCCTAACTCCCCCCAAACCTAACCTGTCCTAAATCACACATATAACACGCAGCTCGATTCTCCGAGCCCATCATATCGAAAACCGCCTTTCCCCTCCAGAATTCTTTTCTCAAGGAAAAGAAACACCAACAAACAAAAAGAAACGAAAAAAAGAGCTCTAGTCCGCCAGGCGATAACTGACCAGCGTGTCGACGCGGTGGCTGGCCGTGCTGAAGCCGCGCAGCTGCACGCGCTCGCCATTGACGATCTCCTTGGCGTCGCTGTCGCCCCACTCGACGGGCACCTCGCTCGACGCGTCGGCGTACACCAGCACGTTGAAGGTGCACCCCCCCCGTTGACGCCGCCCTGCAGCTGGGGAAGGAAGGTCACCGACGCCGTGATCTGCCGGAAGATGGCGGCGATCTCGGCCTGGATCTCGGCCTCGGTTTTTTCAACGGCGACAGCGGCGGGTTCGGGGGCTGTCTTGTTGTCCTTTGAGGAGGAGGAGTTTTCTTGGTTTTCTTCTTGTTGTTGTTGTGCTTGGTTTTCGTTGGCGTTGGTTGTTGCTACTTTGGAAGAAGATGATTTCGATTTGGAGGAGGACTTGGACGATTTGGATTGCTTCGCTAGGATTTGCACCTGGTATGGGGGAAAAGAGTGTGGGGTTAGCAAATACTAGTATATGTATGGTATCGCAAGCGCCCTAACGAATGCGGGAGGGAGGGAGAAAGAGAGAGAAACTAAGTGACATACGTCAAACTGCCAGCGCTCCACGTGCTCGCCCGTGTCCTTGTCGGTAATCACGATGACCAGCTTCTGCACCTTGCCGCCGACCATCCACTTGTCGAGCTGCGACATGATCTTCTTGATGTAGGCGCGCACCTGGTCGTCGGCCGACACCAGCATGTTGAGCCCATACTTCTTGACCGTCGTGAAGTCCTCGGCGGGGTAGACGCCCCGTTGGAAGCTGGTTGTCGCTCGTTAGATGGGGATCTCAGACAAGGCTATTATTTGATGAGCCTACAGAATTGTGTGAATCGAGTATTGGAACTGTATTGCCATGCAAGGTTGGTGGTGATTAGTAGCAATTCATCGTTGGCCCAGTGCGCCGTCGCAATGCCGCGGAGACTCACAAACTCGGCAACAAGCTTGGCGCTGCCCTTCAGCGACAGCTTGTGCACCTTGGACTTGTCCTTCTCTTTCTCTGGCGCTGCTGAAGCCATCTTCGTTGGCTGATCTCGATCTGTTCGGGTCGTAGGGCTGACTCTGGTGCGCGGTAGAGGCTCCCCGCACTTTGTTTACTTTTGCGCTTCCAAATCCAAGCGTTGTCCGGGCGGCGGAGGAACCAGAATGGCTACCTTTACGTAAGCAGGCGCACAGACGTCTTTTTATCGGTAATTCGGGTTTTCAACAACATCTGTATGCATCTAACCGGATATTTCACAGTTGTGACCATGAATTGCATCATACAGAGCAGGACCGCGGCAGTGTAGACAAGCAATTTCATCATCTCTACATTCTCCATTAGACGTTGATATCTAGGTACCTCGATATCTTTACTTGTCTAGCTGTATATGTACATCAACCACGGCCAGCAGAATGCCTCCCATGGCACGCAGTCCTTAAAACGCTATGCAGATACATGCCAATGCCAATGTCATCACCCTAGGAAAAGCAGGACCGTTGGAATACCGGTTGCTGTAATACTAGACAGCCGCCAGACCAACCCCGATGCGGACCAGGCGATCGTACTTTGAGTGTGGTCACGGCCCTCTCTGCTTAAGACCCCCCTAATAGCCACCAGACCTGCGATTCCTCGGAGGGTGGCTGATCCTCACGACCGTCTCACCCGACTGCTCAAAATCGACATAGCGCGGCCCCTCCGGGTGGCGGATGACGGGCGGCGTGCCCGGCGGCATGGGCCAGGCCATCTGGCCCGGGGAGAGGGCGGCACTGATGGCGCTGCCGGTGCCGATGCTGCTGACGCTTCCCCTGCTCACGTGGGCGTTGGCGGCGGTCACGATGCGCGGATCCGGGGGCTCTTGCGTGGGGCGCGAGGAGCGGACGGTCCCCGGAGACAGCATGCCGTTTGGTGAGACGGGCGAGACCGGGGACGGTGTGAACGCGCCCGTGCTGGCGGCCGAGTCGTTGGTGAAGACGGACACTCGGTTGCTGTCCCGCGTGGCTGCGGCCGCTGGGACGGCGAGGGGGTGTAAGTGGCCTGTTTGGCCCATGGGTGGGTGCGAGGTGAGACTGCGGCCGTATTGAGTGGGGGCAGCCGTGGCAGTCGCTCCCGGAGCCGGCGTCAACAGTGTCCTGCCCATCCCATCGCCGCCGGGCGTGTCCACGCGGTGGAAGCCGCCTGCTCCCCCGCCGCGGCTGCCGAAGGGGGCTAGCATTCGCTGCACTACAGGTGTCCTCCTAAACCTGTAGAGCAGGAAAGCCAGAAGGGCCAGGAGGAAGAGGAGGCCCACTGTCACAGGGGCCGGTTAGCAGAATGAAGGGTGCTGGTGCTGGTGTACAGGCTTACAACTCACCCACTATACCGGGTATTGCGCCTGGTGGTAGCCCACCGCCAGACGATCCCCCACCAGGGCCGGCGCTTCCGGCAGTTGGCCCCGGGATGCCAGTTGTTTCCCCCGCTCCACTGGTTGACGGCGACGGGGCGACCACAGATGGCAGGCCCGACTGGTGTCCGAAGTCATCCCCGTTTCCGGAAGCGCCCGTTGGGCTCAAGTTGACTCCTGTTGTGTGGTCGGACCCGGCAGAGTCGCCAACCTGGGTAGGGGTTGGGTTGGCCCCGTTTCCGTTCCCCGGGTTGTCCGGACTGCTCTCATTGGGCTGCACGACCACAGGGTCTACTGCCGTCGACTGCGCATCTGGCTTTCCGGTGTTAGTGGCCGGAGGTGGGGCCATTGGCGCCGAAGTCGTGGGCTGCGCGGTCGGAGAGGGAGCAGGAGCAGGAGCAGGTTGAGCTGAAGTTTGGGCGGTGGGCGTAGCAGCCGGCGGCGTAGCGGCTGGTTGTGTTGCGGCTGGTTGTGTTACGGGTGGTGGCGCGGCCTTGGTTGTCTGCGGCGCAGTCGTCCTGGACGTGCTCGTCTTGGACGTCGTCCTCGTTGTGCTCGTAGATGTTTGCCGCCTCGTCGTGGTTTGCCTGGTGTAGTGTCCACCACTAGGCCACTCACAGGCTGCTGGATACCAGTAACACCACCATGGCTTGTCGTCGGCTCTCCTTCGCAAGGATGCCTCTTCCCCAAAGTGCCTGATCCGCTCCATTCTTCCCATCGCAGAATACCCAAGAAGCGAGCTTATTATGGACCTGGAACCATCACCCTGAACTAGCAACCCGCAGCCCTCCCAGCAGCTTCGGTTCCAAGTCAATTAGCGAGAGACAGGTTCCAGGCCGGTTGCGCGAAGCGGAAAACGAGTGAACGGCGCGTGCGAAGGGAAATGCCCCCAACGGCGCAGGCGGGAAGGGGACATGGCCCTGGATAAGCAAGAGTGAGGGCGGGGGGTTCTAGCCCCCAAGCGAGGTGTGATTTTGGCTTCGGGCCCAAAAGTGACCGCGCCGCTTGGCTTGCATCGCTAGGCCGACTTCAGTGGGCATGTTCCATGCACGATGCCTGGCACTTGTCCCAACTCGGCGTTGCATGCGCGATGGTCAGATTTGCTGCTGAAAAAGCGCGAGTCAATGCGCGATAGCTTCCCGAATGCTACCTAGAGAGAGGGAGAGTCATGGGTGGTGGTGGTTCGGCCAGACCATGACACAAGATAGAGCTGAGAGATGCTGGAATATCATCGGCATGGGATGGATGGGTGGGCGCGAGCGAGACGGGGCAGATCATCTATCGCAGATTCTCGTCGTCTCTCCGGAAAATGGGGTGAAATGCGCCGGCGGCTTCTCGATCATGCGTGGGTGATTGCGATCTGCTACAGCCCTAGCAGTAGCAGCTGACCTGCACCTCTTCATCCACCAGCAGTATCGGCACATGCCGTAGCTTGAGGTAGCCATCAAAAACATTTCGCGGCATCGGATTCGAGAGCACTGCCTCACCACAACAGCAACGGTCGCGGATGCAGATGCTCGCGACTTGACGACCCGCCGAGTCGGTGGAAAAGCTTGGCTCCACCGGAGTGAGACAAAGTGCGGAAGCGGCGGACATCTGCACGTGGGATTCAGGGATTCCACCTGTGACCACAGTGACCACACCATTCCCCGCTCAACCCGAACCCTGAGTCCCAAGTAGCCGGGGTAGCCATAGGAACATCCTTCCTCTCTCCGGGATTCCAGTTGCAGATACTACTACTAGTAGTAGTAATCAAAGTTGTAGGATGATAGGCCGCAGAAAAGCGTATTGACGAGAGCGGATCCTCAGACAATCCGGGTATGCTGTCAAATATTTCACCATAGATGTCCGTGCGACTACTTAGTAGCCTGAGATTGCTGATACTCGGTTCCGGGATGATGACGGGGAGTCTCTCCAACGATGGCATTTGACGGCAACTGAACGGCTCGGGGGGGGCCGGAACCATGAGCTGCGGGCCGCCGGGAGGGCTTCCTACATTGATACTTGATAGTGCTTCCGAGAGAGCCATATATGTAGACAGGGTTACTCTCCCAGGTGTACCGGCTATCTGGACAGGCTTACATAAAGTGGCCTCCGTGGCATTGTTGCTAGCATATGCAGAAAGTTGGCGAGCCGCAATCTCTTAGCTTGACCATTTGACGGTCCGCAGTAGTTGCAAACTTGCAACTTGCCGTCCAGGATGGCGTCTGTTGTTAAGGACCCTTAGGGAGGCGAACGCGACGAGGTCGGCCAACCCGCGGCGAGGTGGCTCATACTCTGATGTCGCCATCCGCTTCCCGTCTGACAGTCCAGGCACGTGCCACGAGGTAGAATGTTCATGAAGTCCCAATCGCAGATCGGCACCGTGGCTGAACCCTTGGCGCCACCATGTGGTGACGGGTCAGACGGGAACCGAACGCCGTGGCGATACATTGATTCTCTGTTTTGCGGTATCCGTCGAGATAACCTCGAGGGCGTTAATCAGTCCATTCAATGATATACCTTGGGCCTCTTCCTTGCTTCGCTCCCCGGTGAGCGTGGGGTTGATTTTTGGGAAGAGTTTGCCGTTCCCGTCCCCGCCTTGGGCCGTCGGCTGTCCACTACGGCATCCTGGACCTTCCAGACTCCCGTAAGCGGTACGTCTCGTTCGAACACGACGGGATGTCGGCTCGTCACACTGGAAGACCTCTATCACCAGGGACTCGACTGGTGGCTTTAATGGAGTAGTTTTGCCTATAAAAGTTCCCTGTCCACTGAAAAGGGTCCGGAACTAGTAGCCATGAGAACAGAAACCCGCACCCTTTGAACAACAACAAAGACTAGAAACGCAAATAACTTTGGCTCGCTTCCACTGCTTTGTGATATTCTTGAAAGTACTGAATATGAACTACACAATTACGGCTTAGTAGTGTGCTCTTTGCAGCTGCCTGCAATTGTCAGCTACTGCGGCGTAGCAGCATCCTGGCGAGCCTTGTGGGCGGCAGCCTCGGCGGCGGCCAGCGCGGCATCGTGATCGTCTTCCAAGTCGGGATCCAGACCATCTAATCCGTCGATGAAGCGCGCGCTCGCCCATGGGGCCGCTGTTCCCGGCTCATACAAATCACCCCCGGCTTGTTCCAGCCCCTTGAAGACCAGGTGCCGTACTCGTGACCTCGGAGTTGACTGCGACTCCGGTCTTCGTCGAAGTGGTTGTGGATGGAAGCGGGAAGTTGGAGCGGGAAGTTGGAGCAGCAGCCGGCTGCTGTCTAGCGTTTTGGGCAGGCGCCGGCTATGGCAGCTCCTGCGGCTGGGGCGCGCTTGGCAGCTGGCAGGAGGTTCACATGTGTACTGCTGCAGGGCGATCTAGCCATCCCTATTATTATTCTTCCTACATCGCTGTGCCCTGGGGCGTGCCGGACCTTCAACTACTTACTATACAGGAAAACCGTGCCCTTGCGGGCCGGATGAAAAACCCATATCGGCAATCAAGGAAACGATCAGTGAGTGAACCTGCAAATACCAAGAGAGAAGGCCTCTTGGCCTTCGAAGGGAAGGGACATCAGACCACGAGCTCCAGCTCAAGCCTCCTGGCCATGCTGGACATCGGTAGCCTCCCCGAGTCCATCAGCCACTCCAAGATCCTCCCCGTTAGCCGTGCAGCTTTGTGATTGATTCCCTGTAGAACAGAGTAAAAGTCCCTTCGCGTTCGAACCTCGTCTCTCTCCCATCTTCTGGTCAACGGTGGGCCCAAGCACCACATCACCAGGTGTTCGACAGTCTCTCTCCCCTCTCCACACTCGCAGTTGTGCGTCAGAACCTCTGGGACGTCGAAGTGAAGGGTGGCCTCCCGGTCGGTCAGCCAGTTCTTCGTCTAGAGGACTAGCCACCTCGGGAAGCGCATTTCTCGGAGGGTAGCTAGTAGCCGGACGTGGTTGACCGTATCAAAGGCTCCTGAGATGTCCAGCTGAAGGAGCGACGCTGCTGCTTTCTGTCTCCACGCTTCCTGAACCTGTGCTACTACCAGCCGGATTGCCAGCTCTGTTGACCGGTGTGCCCTGTTGCCCATCTCGGCCCATAATTTGCCCAATGAGAACCTGGAAAGAAGCTAACAGACCCGAGAAACGACATAAAAGGTGGAATCCAGACCCAGGTTACCCAAACCCCCATTCAGATTCTCCCTCTAATCCCTCCTATCTGAGATTCGCGCATACCTAGCATCCCAAGAAAATATGTCGGATGGAAACGGACTGGTCCCGTGCAGCGATGCATCTCCCCTCTTCGGGCTGTGGATGCCGCATGCACACCTGAACCGGCTATTCTACGGCCCTTCCTGCGCGGAGCAACACTTGCTCAGTGAGCTGCCTTGTCCCGGCTCCCGGGTTTTTATCGTCACCGGTCGGTCGCTCGCGACCAAGACGCCCCTCATTCGTCAGCTCGAGGCGCTGCTGGGCGAGCACCATGCGGGAACGTTCACCGGCATCAAACAGCACGGCGAGGCTGCGGGAGTGGACCAGGCATTTGCCACGGTCGCAGCCAATCCATCCATCGACACTATCCTGTCTGTCGGTGGCGGGTCGCCCATTGACGCAGCCAAGGTAGTTTCGTTCCGCATCAGCGAGCAGCGCGGCTCCTTCCTCACCCACGTCGCAATCCCTACGACGCTTAGCGCGGCCGAGTGTACCCCTGGCGGCGGCTTCACCCGCCACGATGGCACTAAAGTCGGCTTCATGGTGGCAGGCAGGTTGCCGCCTATTTTGACGACCTGGAGGGGACAGGATATGGGGCCATGCACGCTGACCGCGGGAAGATGGATGACGCCCTCACCATGCTCATGCTCGCATCATTCGCCAGCTCTGGCTTCCGCGGTGCCAACCTTGGCGGCGGCATGGGCCTCTCCCACAGCTTGGGCCATGCCTTGGGTAGCCCATATGGGATTCCTCGTAAGCAGCCATATTCCATCTTCCTACCTGGCTTTTTCAATGGCCTGCCACGTTCACCAGGCTGCGTCGGGTGTAACATAAAATGATACTAGCACGACGGGGGTGTATGTACGCACCCCGCAACTGCAGATAGAGAAACGAGCTGCCTGACTCTTGCCCCTATCATCCAACCTTCTAGCGTCGCAACGGCCACCCGCCGCAGCTCAGATCAGTCGCTTCCTGCTCCCAGCGGTTGGTCGATAACCCAGGGGGGACGCCGTCCAAGATTCCGTGAACTTCGCGGCAAGCTTGGAGGAGCTTGTCTTGCGGCTGGGCTTGAAGCAGCCATCACTGTCCGATCGCGGAGTCGGGAGAGACCAGATCCCGATTATTGTCGAACGGGCCGTGAAAGACCAGGAGGAGAAGGAGTTGCGGGCTGCGGTCCGACGCCTGGTTGAGGCACTATTCTGATCGGCTCTTGGCGCCTTTTGTCTGCAGGAAGCCACGGCAGGGACGCGCGGCTAGGCTGGCTTACCTTCAGAGTATCTGTATTACAGACGGAACGTCAACAACGGCGTGGATGAGCCGCACATTATACAATGGTTCCTATTACTATACACAACGGTCCCAATTTTGAGTTCCCTTTTGTGCCTCTATCCTTTCTAAAGTACCTAGGTCATTGCTTCTTCAAATTCTCCCTGGTTAACGAACCAGGAACTCCTGAATACCAGTCCAGTAGATCTGTTGACCCGAGACCTCAAACCTGACATACCAAATCGATTCGAGGGCAGTAGTAGATTGCACACGAGATATTTGGTTGTTAAGAATGAGCGCTGCTCAAAGTGGGTGAGAAAGGTGCAGTAATCGGAGCTATCCGCTCAGTGGGTTGACTTTGCGACCTAGACTCCTGTGTCGGCAATGTTGCGTACCGTCGCTCCACTGTCTATCACACCTCACTTTCAACGACGTCGATACTGAAAACTTCATGGGAGTCTGCGCTCGGTCAGGCGAATGAATTGACACGGATCTGTCCTGCCGAGACGCCACGAAGCTCCAGCCGCCGAAGGAGGACGTGGCCGTATCGATGGACACTGCCGAGGATTTACCAGACCGAACGCAGGAAGCGATGCCAAAGCAGCCGCCAAAGCAGCCGCAAGTAAAAGCATGGATGCCTCTTCTCTGACACAACCTCGCAGTAAACTGTCAGGTCTTTGGCATAGTATTACCGGGTACTACGAGAATACGTAGCTCACATGAAATCGCTGACTGCTCTCACCGCTGCCACGGTGATTGCCGTGCTGTAAGTCAATCCTGAATTTTCCTTTCCAATCCCAAAGTTGCCGGACACATTCGTTCCGACATGCAGCTGAACTTCCGGCAGGGCATCCCCCATCTTCCCCCAGTCGAGTACTAGCAGCCCCGACGGAGCTATATCTACCAGCGATGCCATCACCAACAGCGTCCTCACGGCGAGCATCGCAGCTGCTTGTCCAACCGTGACGGAGACGCGCGAGCTCTGCACCACGTGGCTTGTACCGCTCTGTTTGTTCCTTTCAACCGTCACCCAGTCCTGTGGGTGCCCGACGCCAATCCCGACAGTGCAACTGGACTTCCCCTGCTCCCTGAGCTGCAGTGGTCTCACTGGGAGAATCTGGTGCTCGACTAGCTATGATACAGTGACGTCGTCTGACTGTCCTGGATCGACGAATGCTGCTGCGAGGATGAGAGTGCCGTTTTCACTTTGGTAGAGCGTTTCATACGAATCGCAGACTTAATGGGAAAGGGATAGTTTTAGCGTCTTGGGATATTGTCGTGGGACTGTTGTGTATGTACTTAGAGAGTGCAGATGCCGGTTGACTGCTTCTTAGTGTAGGATTGACGGAAGGAACAGAAATCCGTTGGTTACAACCCGCGGTACTATATCTGCGGTTTGGCAGGCCGAAGTTAACCAGAACTCAATCAAATGCGAAGCTTCGCTTATGGGATCGGGAGAATACTGCGTGTCTCTGCTGCCATCTGGGGATACGGCAATTCTTCGAGAGGCCCCTTGGACTGTGCAGCATTTCATGCGAACCAAATTAAGAGCTAGGGCTTGCAGGACCCAAGTCTGCAGTATATTAACCTGGACTTTTGCCAACAACCACTCGCAGACGCTCAATTACCAATTTCCACGGCCATGTGTCCGCTTTCAGCCGTCCCAGACGCAGGGCCGGTAGCAGGCCGGATAAAGGATGGGGCTTGTTTATAGATTAGCTCACAAGATCCTCCGGCTCACTCGACTATGGACCGCTCCGTCCGCAAGGCCAGCTCTACGTGGGTTACTCTTTGACTGTTTCTAACTTTCTTGATCCCCAATCCCTAGATTCTTCAGGCAATGGGCCATCTCCAACTCGTCGCAGTGGTACTCATCCTTGGGAGTATTGGTCTCGGCAGCCCAGTGCCCTAGGGTGGACCCGCCCCTCCGGCAAAGTATTGCGATGCCTTAACAACGATATGCTACACCGAGTACATAAGTCTAGAGCAGATCGCCATTCGCGTCGCCATCCCCGACAACGCTACAGCCGGGAACTTTAATGTCCGGCTGTAGATCCAGGCTCCCAAGACAGTAGGCTAGGTAGGTATTGCTTAGAGAAGCGTCATAGTCAACAACCCCTTGATAATGGCATAGGCCAACAGAGACAAGACCGTTGTATCGAGCCGGAGCACAAGATAAGTACGGTCATATTTATACGGACTAGAATAGTGGTAAGAAGATTAACCCGAAAATAAAACAGCTCCTGTATATATCCCACGCCTTATACAGGGGCCACCTATACCACACTCTCCGGCTCGACGACCAACAGCACGCACTGGACGCTCAGCGTGCTTGCCCAGGGCGTCAGCGTATGGGGCAGCGCGAAGCTGAACCCCGCCGGCAACGTGACTCTCGCCTACGCCCAGTCGGCCGCTCCGCCAACGCAGCCGGCTAACAATGCCAGCCGCTTCAGCATCCACAATTCCCACCAGCGATTCTCGGTCGACCTGAAGGCTGCTCAGATTGCCAACTTTGCCGAGTTGGTCCAGAAGGCAACTGTCTGACCGGTTCGCTGAGAGATAGCAAGATGCTGATAATCGAAGGGCAAAGGGAGCTGGGACAACATCAAAACAGAAGACTAAGATAATTTTTGGAAAGGGACTGCGAGCTAGATTGTTAGACACGGCGAGCTAGTCCTGTCGATGTATCTGCACACCAAGGGCAATGGAAATTTCGATCCATGCAGCCAGAACAGTTGAGAGTGGCCGATTGTATAACCAAGCGTGGGAGATATTTATCCGGAAATGTGTGTTGTTACTTCAATGCTACTAGTAATACACTATGAAACTCGGGATCTTGGATTGAATCGGCAAGCTCTCCTTAGTGTACTGTATACCACTCGGATGCTTCGATGTCGACATTTGTGTAGAGTAGCTGCGGGTATTCCGCCCACCTCCCCGGGGGGGTCTGCGGTGATGGAGGGGCATGGCTAGTTATAAGGACATCATTTCATCATTACTCAACAGGCCGCGAAGATCTACAGCAGCGGCGAATGTCCGGGAAGTTACTTTAGGGAGTACGTCTTTGGGTCGTAGCATCGTTGGAATGGCACACTTGTCCGCGCTCAATGATATCTAGCAATGAATAGGTACCTCTGCGACATCAACCTCATGAACTAGTCCCACGGCGATACCCATCTCACCTGTGCCGTACCGGCCGGCTCGGAGTGGCGGTATGTGGCGTATTTGGAGCAGTACATCTAGCAGCAACCCCGGAATAGCATCTCCAAGAGCATATCTGAAAGTACCCTCGGATAGCACCCTCGGTTAGCATCTCCGGCTACCTGAATAGCGCCCTCAGATAGCATCCTCGGACAGTACCCTCGGCGTCTCTACCAGACAGCTTTCGGAATGCTGACTCTTGCACGTATGCCCCCATCGCGGATCTTGCGTCATGTTTGTCATCAGATCGATCATTTTCGTCATACCAACGTCACTCCGATAGCATCCTATCAACCTACTGTATTCTAAGAATCCGGTTGCATGTACCGGGCACCGTGCGGCTGCACTAGAGGTGGGCTGGAGGAAACAACGGCGGCAAAGGTCCATGCTCGTCTTTGACAAGAACGCTGTTGATTTGCTAATTACTGACGGGCTTCATCGACCTATATCTACGTCGGCAAGATCGAGGGCCTCCGCAACGACGGCATGGCCTGATGCCGCCTTTCCTGCGGGTGGAGTTGAGATCGGTTGCCGGATGCCTCCGGCCCTGTCTTCTCTTGACCGTCCGAATTCATGTCCGTCAAGGTCTAGACTCTGTCTAGGAGGTGTTATCCGAGGGTGTTATCCGGAAGCGGTATCCAGAGATGTTGACTCCAAAAGATGGTTAGGTACCTCAGAGGTGCTAACTAGAGGGGCCATTCGTCTATAAGGATATAGGGGTCTCGTTTGAGCAGATCTAGAGCCAAAGATCATCTTAGTCACAAGACAAGTTACCCCCAGCGATTCCTTACCCCATCCACTATGCCCATGAAATCGTATAGCGGAGCAGGCGATTGGCCTCTGATCATCGACTAGCTAGTCACACTCGTGGGTGGTATCGACAATATAGAAACGGCCGTGGACACGGCTCTCAGGGCGTTTCCGGACCCGCTAAACAACCCACTGCTTGCTCAGGGCATTACAGATGGCACCACATTTCTCAACTGGGTTGCCGGCTTTCTTAATTGGGTCCCGTCCGAAGACGCAAGTTCTACCTACGTCTACGACATGCTTTGCATCTTCTACTTCGTCGTCGACCAAGCGCCCCTATCTACCTATTAGACCGAGATTATACCGGAGTCTGAGAACTAGCTGCTCAAGCCTCTATCCGTATAAATAGTACTTTTCGCCTAGCAAATAGGCTAGTTTATAAATACTATAAGCTCTTTTAGTTAGGAAGCATTTACTTTGTTCTAGAAGGCGAGATTATATAATATAGGGGAGAGCAAGAGCCCTGATAGGTCGGCCTACTAAACCTTTAACTAGTTCTTTAGCTGCTATCCAGCTATGCCTCATCCTATTAACGGCCCTGGCAATAATAAGGTCGTAGTCTACCCAGCCAATAGCAGATTCGACGCCGCCTTTACCATCGACGCCAACGACCGGAGCAACCCCAGTGCCAATCAAATAGTGCCTTCCATAGTCCCGGTAAAGGGTCTTCCTTAGGATATCAACACGCTCCTTAATAGCAGCCAGTACGCTTCCTCGTTCGCGGGCGGTATCTGGTCGCACTCGTTCCTATCCACCTACAACTATCACCGCCTATACGCACCCGTCTCTGGCACCGTCGTCGAGGCAAGAGTAATTTAAGGAGGCGTATACTTCTAGGTTATAGCCAACCTAAAGGGGGGGACCTTCAAGAAGCGCTGCTATATTGGCAAGCTCCCTAAGAATAAGGGTATGCATATCGAGGCTGTTGACGGGGCTGGCTATCAATTCCTTCAGACTTGTAGCCTCTTTGTCATTGATACTAGCATGTCCCCTGATAGCGATATTAAGCTCTTCGCCGGTATATACAGTTTATTTCCGCTTGATCTATCAGGTTGTTCCCCCTCTTGAAACATGGGAAATGCAATGGCACAGAGCCAGGCCTCAGAGCAGAGAGTGTTGCCTGAAAAGATCTCGTCGGTCAAATCCCAACATATAAGACTAAGAATACACTCTTCCCTTTTTTTCGGGGTTCCAACTTGAAATTACTAGTATTACTAACGTCAAGTGCGGCAGTCCTTCCTATCGGCATGGCCTAAGTGGACTCGGTAGTGCCTCTCGTCCGAGCCAAGACGGACATCACTCAGCCTACCTTCCCCTTCCTGGTACAAAAGGGCAACCCGCTAGCCTACTTCCAGTTCGGTGGGTCCGACATCATTGTCGTGTTCCAGAAAAAGGCCGGCCTCGGGCCCGAGTCTTTCTTCCCCTATCCCGACCCAGACACGGCGCCGGATCATCCTTCCAAGCAATGGTCCCGGTACGGCCAGCAGCTTGCACAGGCTGCGCCTCAGTAGTCGGACAATCCTACATTGGGATAGTCTGATCTGGTGTGGATCATGCGGAGTTTATCTAAAAGGTTAGTCGTAAGCTTTTATTTGTCTCCAAGTCGTGGTTTTCTGTTTTTCTCTTTTCCTTCTCTCCCTTGGTCTGTTAGATTCAACCAGAATGGTACTTTAGGCAGACAAGAATCAACCAAGCCGAATTTTACAGTTGTCATCTCTATCTACTGTCTATACTAAGTTGGTGTTATAAACCCACTAATGGGAGGAGCCCGTTGGTATCCCACGCGACTTTAGCCCCCTAAGTACTATGGAACCCATCTATAATTATAGGGAGGGTAATCTTATCTTGTAGGAACGAGAGGCTCCTTCGCGGGTCATACAAGCAGTTTTGAGCATGTTGGTCCACTTGTCGCTGGTACCAACATGTCTGCGCTTTCAATGCATGCGGAAGCTGTCGGCCCGATAGAACTTCTTGCTCAAGTTGCATCTGCCGAATTTGCGAAGTTCCTGCGGATGCCCTATGCGCTCCTTCCAGCCCTGTTCGCTCGCATTGGCTACGCCCTGGTTCTCCACGCTTCTCAAGAACTCTTTGCCGCAGTAGCCGCAGACATCGGCCGTACCGGGCCTTGCCGTACTGTCGTAGAACGCCTGACCGTAACCTGTCAAGACCGAACATGACCAACTGTGCTGCTGAATGTGTGCTGAATTTCTGTGTCTTCTAGCCTCTCGCTTGTTTTTGAAACAATGGGCACAGAAGGAGCACTCATGCGGCTTTTCGGCCTGGACTGCCGCCGAGGGGGAAGGCGTGGGTTGGGGCGCGGCCAGGGTCGGGTTCGTCGCCGTAGTCGGGTGGTTGGTCAGATAGAGGCGGGTCGAAGGAGCTACCTGGGTCTCTCGCGCCGCCTGGTCGGTGTAGGCGGCGGGATTAACGGCAGAGTGGGGGTTGGTTGCGGGCTGGAGAGGTCGCGCGGCAGACCCCCCTTGGGACTGCGAGTGGGCATAGCCGTGGTTCGGCGAGATTGGCTCTAGGTCTTGCAGTTTGTTCGAAGATATATCCAGCGAAAATGGAACCAACCCTGCACGCCTGGTCATCTCGATGTTCCCTATTTGCCAGTGCATCGCCTCGGCGGCTCGCTAGGAGACGTGCATCTCTCCTGCCCGTTTGGAACTCATCGCAGGCAGAAACCTAGGAAAGGACTATTAGCGTCTGCCGAAATCGATTCTAGTCTGATAAGAGAGTTTGAGGGGCTGTAGAGGGGGAGCCTTCACCTTTCGTATAGCCGCACAGACCTGTTCTTACCCTCCTCATCTCGCTCGCTGAAGACTGGTTGATGGGTGGTCAACACCGAACCCGCCTCTGACGAAAGCTCGATGTTCTCACGGCGTGAGAACATCGAGCTTTCGTCAGAATGAGAGGGCCGGGGGGGCGCATGCAAGGGAAGGGACAAGCCTGGACCAATCGTTAGAACCAATCGGGAAGAGCTCTAGCGTGCTCTCAAGAGCCCTTGAGAGCACGAGACCGACCAATTAGGAGGAGCTCTAGGGACCTCTATGGAGCACCCGAGAGCACTCCAAGTAGATAGTATATAGTCACTCGTTCGGGAGGGCTCCGGGAGCTCTTCAGTGAGCATTACAAGCAACGGTTCTTACCTATTGTGCGGACATTGCAGGCAGCATTGTTGTGAACCTTCTGGCTTCACCGAACCATTACCCCTTGTGTTATCACCTTCAACCAGGACTGTCCCTCTCAGAGGATAGGGGCCGTTACAGGGTTTGTAACGGGCTGGGCCCGAGGTAGGCCTTGGCGACCCTCGGCTCCCCTAACCCTGAACTTTTGCCCCCTGAACCGCTGGACGAAGCTACTGTGTATTCCCAGATCGCACCCCGGCGCGCCCGGACCACCGGGCTCGCCTCGGCTCATATAAGCGGTTCATCGACCGCCAAGTTCTCTCGTCTTCCTTTTCTTTCTTCAAGCTCAGTGTACTCATAGACTCGTCATCAACCAGTTGCAAATATACTCGTTGAGGCCGTTACAGGGTTCGTCACAGTTTATGCATCTTCCCCTGGTTCATCAGAACAACAAAGGCCTTCGTCGGAATACCCCCGCCTCCGTTTTGATACCTTCCTTCGGTAAATCCAGGCAAAAACAGTCGGCTAGCTCGAGCGGCAGCCTATTGCTCGACCGTAAGAGCATATGGTTACCGAAAAGGAAGTCGACGTTCGTACGGAAGCCGCTGTTCACATCGCTGAACCGCCAAGCCGCTGCTGTATGCTCAGGGATCTTCGCCGGCGAATACCCGTCCTTGATCGTGTTAAGGATATGGTCCACCCACTCCTTGCGGCTCCGGCGAGCGGCTTCGCGGAATATGCCGCATGAGCGCCCTCTTTGCAAGGCCGTTAGGGTGTGGAGCAGGGTTCTCGCCTCTCGTCTTTTGTTGTGCATAAAGGTTGATAATAGCGCTGCTGTACAGCCGTACGTTGCTGTACTGCAGTTTAAGCGCGGAGGTACCGGCGGCCAAGGTCCGAGTCCGATTCTAACGCTGGATCTTCGGCCGAACCCCCGCCAACGACGATCACATCGGCCGCCCCAGTTGATAACGGGCTCTCCCTCTTCCGCCTCTTTAGCTTCCTTTCTGCCATGAGCCGTCGCGTCTCGGCCTTGCGACGTTTGCCGCGTTTCGGAGCGGGGGAGGCGATCTCTTCGTCAAGGAAGAGCACTAGCTTCCCCTCGTCAACAGGGTGACCCGGCAGGGTTCTGCCTATCTGGTACTGGCCTGGCCAACCAGGCTGGATCTCTGGAAAAGCGAGATTTGCGCCATTCATATGTCCCCGTTAGCCCTGCCAGCCATTCCGTGAGGGGGCAGCGCGCGGCTCTGCCCTGCTGACTGACCATCCACTCGGCCTGCTTTGGGCCGTACGTCTTACACGTGTTCTTAGGCGTTACGTTCTGGTCGTCCAGCAGATACCTCTTGACAACGGCCGAGACATTGGTGTTTACGCGCTGAACGAGGCTCGGATCCAGCTGGTCCATCTTCTTAGACAGTTGTCGTACGATGAGACATAGACGGTGGTAGAATGACGTGGAATGAGAGGCGGGAGGCGGAGGGTGGGCGATATCGGTTTGGTTTCTTACCTGTACGAGCCCGCCGCATAGATACACGCGCGCAGGCGCGGCGCAGGGCTAGCCCGGCTAGCCCTGAGAAAATCACCTGTTACGGCTGGGTTTTGCTGGTCATCCGACCCATCCCGGGCCTGAAATTCAGGGCGGGCGGCCGCTGGCAGGACCGGGGTGTATGCGTGGCGCGGCTGGCCATCCGCGCTAAGCCCGGATGACCGCCATCCTATGCGCGGGCCTTGAGATACCGTCAGATACCATTTTTGCTCGAAAACAGAGTAAAAATAACGCTCGGATCATTACCAGGTTTGTTTGGCGAAGGAACTTTGCAGGTTACGGGACTTCCAGTGTAGTGAGAAGATGGGATGGATGGATGGATGGATGGATGGCTTTATTTAGAGTCTCTAATTGTACGGGTCGCCAACCTAATTGTACGGGGTCCGCACAGACCACCTGGATTCTGCCACACCCAAACCGTCAGGTCGCCGAGGCCATTACAGGGCTCAGCCCGTTCAAGCAGGTGCGAAGGTTCGCCCCCCTTTCCACCACCTGACCAAGACACCTGTACAGGGTCGTTCCGACGCCAGTTTGGCCTGCCTGGTTCCCACGAGATTGAGGAGAGGCTCCGCGCCAACGAGGAGCTTACAGTCCGAGATACCCACGAGCATTGGAGGCTAGGCAAGGATCTCGCCTCTGCGGACCTCTATCTCCATATGCTTGAGCCCCTCGCAGTTGTGGTACGTCGTGGAAGACGAAGGAGGTACAGGTCCTACGTCTGGCGCAGCCATACAGCTCGGGACGCCAGCGCCAGACACCCCCTTGGCTAGTTGACACATAGCAATGGTTCCCTGATTTCCCTGCGATAGGTCCCAAGGCCCCAATCCCCATTATCCCCAACTCGCTCAAACCGAACTGATTGCTCTGGAGGTTTTTCTTTTTTTTTTTTACCCTTTTTTGTTTTGCCGTGGTCAGCAACGCCGGCGGCCCAACCCATTTCCGGAAGGCGGTGAGTGCGGACCCCGTACAGTTAGGTTGGCGACCCCGTACAATTTGAGAGACTTTGGCCCGAATCAGTCAGCAGACTTATCGGGCCGACCCGCCCAACCAACTGACGTTCAGCGTCCGCCAACTCAAGTTAACGGTCAGATGAGAAGAACCTCATCCGGTTCCAGCGACTTCGCATATATTCTGGATACGTTTCTGGAGCGTGTAACGGTTTCCGAACACACCCACACCCACCCACCCATCCACCCCCCCCCCCCCCCCCACACACACACAAAATTTATTCCGCCCGGCGGGCTTAACCCGAAAAGGGCAACTATTACATATCTAGGAGTAATTAGATTTACTAAGATGGATCTTGGTCTCCTAAAGCCCATACGGCCTCATTCTGTGCCTTATGTCCTCAATCTTCTGCCTTGCTTTTCTGCAGGTTCTCGTGGGTTAGTAGTATCATGAGTAAGCCAGCTTGGAGTCCGTTCTCCAAGTGTTCAACGTCCTGTCCTCTGCGGTTGAAGCGTGCCTACTCAGCGTAGCACGAGGTGGGTGGTGGTGGTCCGATTGGTGGTAGTGGGTTAGTGGTGACGGGTATATGCTGTCCCGTTCTGTGGTTAGTCTGCGTCCAGACGGCCTATACCCATTGCGAACCGTATAGTTGCCCGTATCGCTTGCATATCTGGGGACCAGTTCTTGTCATCCGAAGGCGACTTCCCCCCTAGGGTTGTCCCTGTGGATATCTATGCATTGAAGCATCTCTGCCCGGTGTTCAGTCCATTGCCTGCATCGAAACAAGAAGTGGTCCACCGTCTCTCTCGCTTTTCCGCACGTACACTGGTCTGACGATGTCGCTCGGCTGCGATGGAGGTATGAGTTGAGTTTGGCCATGCCCGTCCTAAGCTGAGCGAGTACGCCGGCCTCTTTCCGCAACAGGTGGTCGTATAGCAGTCGGGTTAGTTTTCCTGGGAGCGCTATATCGACACCCTTAGAGTATCTACCTACTTTGTCCGGCAGCGTTTTGGGCAATGTCCCTTTGCCCCATGCTATACGGAGGGTTGTAGATCGCATTCCGGATTCCCGGGCTTATAGTGTAGCATTCTGTCGGGCTGCCTCTTTTGTTTTCTCCTTGACTATCTTCAGGAGTTCGTTCTCGGCGGTTGTTGGTACCCAGACGATAGATATAGTGTTCCCGGCGCTCCGGACAACTTCCATCGTGGCGTACGCTTCACAGATGTATTGCTGTCCTGATTGCTAGCGTGAGTTCTTTAGCGTCAATACGGCCGCTTTGTTGCTGGTGGCGAGGATGATCCTCTGGTACCGGACGTTCCGCAAGACTCTCAGCGCATGTCCGACCGCCGCAAGTTCTGCTGTGTACGGGTTCTGTTCCATCCTGGGGCCCACTGTCAAGTTGAACGTCTCGTCTCTTGGAACACTGACTAGCAAACAGTGTTAAGATTACAAGTTCATACACAGACTGTCGGCTCTTGCAAACTGCAGTGGATCATGCGCTGGCTTTGCCTTAGCCACGTGTATTAATTGACCCATCTATCGACTGCAACTAGAGAAGACGGACTGGCTGGCCTATTCCCAGATGATGGTTCAGCAAAAACCGGTCCTGTGTCATGTTGTCCACGACGGTGGCGTCTATCAGGCGATGGTCCCCTGGCTGCTGTTCTTCGGTGGCCAGGAGTATCAAACCGCTGGTGAACTTCGTCGGTGGCCAGTGAGCCGGCTCTAGCAGAAGATAGTGGCTAGCTTTCCTCAGCTTGCGACGTATGGTGCCATACAAATCAACTTCGCCCGCTTCGCCCCCGATGGCTCGTGGGTGAGACTGGACCATGACTATGTGGGTGCCCGCGGCAAAGTGGTCGCTGTCGTTGTCGCCAGGCCGCATTGTAACCAAATTCGCCTTGACGACCATCGCACCATCGAAGATGCGCGGATGCACAGCATTGATCTCCGTTCCCATCATTGAATATTCCCGCTGGACACACCTGCGAGGCACCCAGCCGCCGTTGTTGCCAGAGCCTCGCCCGGTACTGGTCAGCAGGAGATTTGCACCCAAAGCGCCGCTGTTCACCACCCTCTCTATAAGTTGGAAAGTGTTGATGCTGTAATCTACCGCGGGAAGCTTGTCTGATACCATGGAGAACAAGCTGTAGTACTCGTCCAACTCCATTGTGGCGTCCCGACCGCGAAGCTTATCCAGAAGCACAGCCAAGGGGCGTAAGTGGGCGTTCGCGTCGGTGATGGTTCCATGGTTGGAGCATCTAACTACGCTTCGTTGATAGATCGATTCCTCCGTCGAGCCGGCGACCACTGCTGACATGCCAACCAATGTCGTCTTGTCCACACAGCCTACCTCCATCGAGCGGTGGGGGACGGTGCTGATGTAGTGATTGCCTAATGCCGAACTGCGTAAAACGCCGATAAGCTGTGAGCAATCGATAAATGGGGTCTCTTCATGACCCGTCCAGAACGTACACTGCTTGCTCATCATCGCTTCCTGCAATGTCCAGCAGCGTCGTCTCCACTCGCAGTTCTCCCAGACCTGCTTAACCTGCTGCACCAGCTTCGGCTTGTACAATCGGACCTTCCGGCCCTCGCTGCTCAAGCGAGAGAGCTCGATGGGAAATGCCATCCCAGGAAGAATCAAAGTGCACTCGCCGTTGGAGTAGTAGTCTTTCATCTTTGGTACCTCCTTTTCTTTATCCTCCTGGCTTTCTTGGTCTATACACCACCGGTCAACCCAGTAGTACCGATGCTTCAGCGCCTTGTGGGCCGTCGCGATGATCTTTTCCAGGTCTTCAGAGCCGTACGATGCCCAAGGGTACGAGAGTGGTATGTAGCCATCCACGTGTTCAGAGGCGGATAACGCCACAATCTTGTCCTCCAGCCGCGCCTCGTTGCTCCGGAGGGCATCGTAGAATCTCCGGGGAGTAATCTTGGCCTCTGTAACTCCGGATTTTTTTCTCTGGCTCTGCTTTGCCACCAGGGAAGAGACAACCGCATGTGCCTTGGTGAACTTCCCCCCTCGGAGCCACGGCATAATACGGCATAGCTCTGGACACTATTCCTTGCAAGCGCTCCAAGGTGATATGCTGACCGCCGCCGCATAGCCGACCGAGCGGCAGAAACGGCAGCACCGGCGCCGCGGCCTGCAACTCGGTGTCGGTTTTCCGCGCCGTCACGCTTAGCACGAGCGCATCTTGAATCGCCGATCTCGCTTTCTCCAGTGCCTGTTCCGTCTCCGTGCGGAGACCGAGGAAATTTACGCGCTCCAGCGCCACGGCGATGACGCTAAACACCTTCGCGAGCGTGACAAAGCTGCTGTGAGCCCACTTCAGCGGCGACGGCGGCACTTGCACGCGGAACCTCTCCAGGTTCTCCTCCAGCGTCACCTGCGCCACGCGGCCCTCTGAGCACGTCTCGACCCGAAGCCCCAGGCTCAGCACAAACGCGGTGCCGACGCCGTTGTCGTCCAGGCGTACGCATGGGTCGACGGAGGTCAGGTCCACCCTCGTCGTGCTTTTGCCAGTAATTCTCTGCATTTCCCACGTCAGGTTCTCCTTATCCCACTCATCTATCACGCCGTCGTCGTCGTCATCACCATCACCGTCGCCATCATGGGTTCGGTGCTCGGTAAAAGTAATGCGCAGCCGGCAGCCGCGCGGCGTGGACGGCCATGCTGGGTCCGTACGCATCGTGTGCGCGATCTCGTCGTCAGTCATTACGCCGCACAGCCGCGGCGTCGACATCAACCCGCGGATGTCGATGTGCGGACCGAGAGACCGCGGGCCACTGCGGGGTCGATTGCGATTGCAGTGCCAACGGGTTTCGTCGTGTTTTCCGATACAAATTCGGAGGCTGCGGTCGAATTGTCCGCGCTCGACTTCTTCCTGTGACATCCCGAATTGTCCGCGCTCGTTTTCTTCCTGTGACGCCATGGTGAATCGTAAAGCTTGTGCTTATTTTGCTTCGACGCAACGAACGTGCCTCAGAATCAGAGGTGGGTCCTAGCTGCCCAATTCCCCTCCGACTTTTATTTTTCTCCTTTGAGCCTCCTCTTGGCCTCAACCGAGCTCATACCACTCATCAGTGGTATGGACCACTGCCTCCCGGGGTATCTAAGTTTGACTTCAACTCCTGCGCTGTAGTCTGTACACTGTGGATAACCTCAACATCTGTGCACCTCAGGGGGGGCCTTCTCTGCTATTGACGATCATTCCCATTCAGATCGGACAGGAGCGATGGAGTTACATCATGTTGGAACAACTAACACACCAGATACCTTACTACCATCGCCAGGCTTGGATATAGGAACGAGTCGGCTTTACTCACTTTACTTAGTGACATTGCCCATTTAGAACACAGTTGTCAGACAGCTTATTAGCAACCACCGTGACTTCAGACCAAGCCACAAACATGAAAGTTCTTCGGCAATCCTATTGACGCCGTTTGGCGCCGGCTGTACAGTAGGGCGGAGCCGACGCTCTTAAATGTACGTTCAAGTCAGCCTCTGCGAGGTCAATAACCTCTTCGCCCGCTTCCGATAGTTCGCTTCCTCCGCAGCCAGTCCCGCACATGTCCACCCCTCCAACACGACCGCAAATCCATCCCATCCAGAGCCCGCGGCACCGTCAGCAGCATCTTCCACCACCACCCCCGCCTTATTTGACAACTGAGGGCGACTCTTGATCAGTTGCAGCACGTTATATCCGCCTATCACACCCATTATTTTGATGCAGAGTAACCCGAGAAGCGGGGGATACCACCATCTTGCTGCGCATATGTTATATTACCATGCGACGCTCCAAACGGGAGGAGTCTCCCACTTCCTTCATCCCCGACGCTTCACGCCTGCAGCTTTGAACGAGTCTGCGCTTCATTCCCAACATCATCAGCTACCAGTCTGTTACACAGTAACTAGAGAAGTGGCTGGACACGGTCGGCGCCTGCATCCCGCCTCGACCGCCCTTTTCAGTCGAGAAGCAAGCTCCCGACTGTGTGCAACCGAATCTTCTAACCCTTTGTGCCCCTCTCCCGCCTCGTATCCGCCAGTTGTTAGGTTCCAATGACGCTCCTTACGAACCTTCTGCCCGTCATTGTGGCCGTGGCCATCGTCGTCCGGCTTCTGCTCTCGGGCAGACGCCCCAAAAACCTGCCCCCTGGCCCGCCAACACTGCCCATAGTCGGGAACCTCCACCAGGTATGAACATATCAGCTGCAAACTGCCCAAGCAAGCCCAGGCTGATGCGTGTCAGATGCCCACGCGCGATGCCCACCTCCAGTTCGAGAAGTGGGCGCGGGAATACGGGCCAATCTACAGTCTGATCCTCGGCACGAAGACCCTGATTGTCCTTTCGACGGATAAGGCGGTCAAGGACCTGCTGGATAAAAGAAGCAATATCTATTCGCACCGTCAGGAGATGTACACTGGCCAGATGCTCTATAGCGGTGTCATGAATTAACCTGCAGAGGCCGGTGGGGGCCGACCTGCATGACCGACGGGCGGCGCCCGTGTCCAATCATTACAAACCAAAAAGGACCAATGAGGACCGGGGAGATCAGGAACAATGCCAAGAACGATTGTTCCTGGGGAACAACGCCAAGGAACGTTGTTCCAGATGGAACAATGAGAACAACAATTGTTCCAAATGATCCAGAGATCTAGGTACGGGATACCTAGGGGAGGAAGCTGTATATAGTTCTACCATTCTGTCACTCATTCAGATAGTTAGCTTCCTCAGTGAGCAATACAAACAGTAGAGTAGCCCTACCTTACTGTATAGATATTGCGACTTGCATTGTTATGAACCTTTTGGCTTCCCCGAGACCTATAGTCCGACCAGCAGTTACCTTCGACCGGCGAACCCTTTCAGAGGCAGGACTGCCTATGGTTTCGTCACAACCATACAGCAGATGCAGCAGGCTTTCGAAGCCCTCAACGCCAAAATTGCCCAGCTCGAGGCTGAGAATGGCCATATGTAGCAGCTCGTCAATAAGGCCTACAGTAGCAAGCCCAAGGACAAGGCCGAACTCGAAGCACCCCCTAAGTACGGAGGCGACAAAGAAGGACTTACTGGATTCCTTATATCTATAAGGGCCTACCTTAAGTACTATCCGGACAAGTTCGCGGACGAATCCGCCAAAGTTATATTTATCTCCTCGCGGCTTAAGGGGAGGGTACTTCGATGGTTTGAACCTACTCTTAAGGATTGGCTGACTAATAGTACGGACGCTTAGGACGACTTTACTATTAAAATCTTCAAGTTGTACGACAAGTTCGAGCAGGAGATCTAAAAGGTGTTCGGAGACTATAATAAGAAGCTCTATGTATAGGAGCGACTTGTACGCCTAAGGCAGATAAAGTCGGCGGCTGCCTACGCTATATAGTTCTGCCAGGACTTATTTCGGTGCGAGATTAACGACGAAGGTCTTATATAGTTGTTCTATAATGGCTTGAAGGAAGAAGTCAAGGATAAACTATATTAAAAAGACCGACTTAATACGCTTAATAAATATATCGCTAACGTAGGTGTATAGCGAAAGTTACATACATGCGAAAGTTACACTAAACTACACCAATGCGATATTTCACTTCTACACCCACTTCCTCCACAACCTAACATACCTCAGAAAAATGATGAAAGCCAAATTATCTTGGCCCTCCAGGCTCTTGAGAATGATCCCAAATTAAGTCTTAGAGCTGCAGCTCGGATCTTTTCTATAGACCTAATGAAGCTAAGCCGCCGTCGACGCGGTCAGCAGTCACGACGCGACATTCAAGCCAACTCTTGGAAATTGACTAATTTAGAGGAATCTGTCATTATTCAATATATCCTCGACCTAGACGCCAAAGGATTTCCTCCCCGCTTGATTGGTATGGAAGATATGGCCAATCGACTGCTTACCGAACGCGATATAGGACGTATTGGAATACGTTGGGCTTTAACCTTCGTTAAACGCCACCTAGAGCTTACTATGCGTTTCAATCGGAAATATAACTACTAGAGGGCCTAATACGAAGATCTAGAGATCATTTGCGGTTAGTTTACGCTTATACGGAACATAATCGCGAAGTACGGCATCTAGGAGGGGGATATCTATAACTTTGACGAGACCGGGTTTTAGATAGGCGTTATCTCGACTACAATGGTTATTACAAGCTCCGAACAGCGTAGGAGGGCAAAGTCAAAACAGCCTGGCAATCGCAAGTGGGTAACAGTAATCTAGGGTGTCAATACTACTGGCTAGGCGATCCTACCGTTCATCATCGTCAAGGGCAAGCATTACCTCTCCTCTTAGTATAAAAACAGCCTATTGCCTAAGGACTGGGTCATTGCAACTTCCGAAAACGGTTGGACAACCAACAAGAGAGGCCTAGAATAGATCTAGTATTTCGATAGGTATATTAAAGCTCGAATAGTTGGGGTTTATCGCCTCCTCGTCCTCGACGGCCACGATAGCCACCACTCGACCAACTTCGAACTCTATTGTAAGGAGAATAACATTATTATACTCTATATGCCTCCCTACTCGTCTTATATCTTCTAGCCGCTCGATATTAGGTGTTTTAGCCCGCTTAAGACAGTATATGGCAAGTAAATCGAGGGGTTAATACGGGCAAGTATAACTTATATTACCAAGGAGGACTTCTTTCCTACGTTCTACGCTGCTTTCTAAGCCGCCCTAACCCCTGAAAATATTCAAAGAGGTTTTCGAGGTGCTGGACTTGCTCCTTTTAATCCCGAGAGAGTAATCTCGCAGCTCGATATCCGTCTAAACACGCTAACGCCCTCGAACTCGCGGCCCGGTAATACCTATACCTGGGTTTCCAAGAACCCAAACAACCCAATAGAAGCCTCCTTGTAGTCCACCCTTATTAAGAATCGAATTGCCCGGCATTAAAATAGCTCTCCAACCGAGATTTTGAGGGCGCTTGATATGTTTGCAAAAGGGACATCTAAGGTCATGTATTAGTTGGCATTATTGCAGGTAGAGAACCAGAGCCTCCGAGCTGCAAATGAGGCGCTAAGTAAACGCCAGAGAGCCAAAAAACAGCAGCTGCGGCAAGGAGGATCGCTTTCTATACAGGATGTACAGGATCTAGAGGGTCAGAGAGAGGTTGAGGTGCAGATAAAGGAGGAAACGCAGGCGGGTAGTGGTTGGAAGCCGAGGATTGAGACGCGTGCGCGGCGTTGTGGCAACTGCGGTGAACCAGGCCACAATGCGCGTACCTGTCAGATAGTTGTGGAAATGTCGGAGGAAGACGATTCCGAGTAGTTTCATTTGTTTTGAGGTGGTTGGGTGGAATTAATACAGATTTAGTTGAGAGGGTGTAGTTTAGTGTAACTTTCGCATGTATGTAACTTTCGCTATACACCTACGTTATAGCTATTTATATTGATAATCGAATTTATATAAGGCGCCAGTAGCGTAAAGGATATAGAACGCAGCCTATATTTGTCAAGGCCAATGACAAGAAAAAGCGCCAGTATTCTAGCATATTATATGGCACCTATACTAGTCCTATAGATATAGATACCATATAGCGCGAAGTAGGAAAGGGACAAAGGGATAGGTCCTAGGTTACTTGCGTTAACTACGGCAAAAAGGGACACTTTAAACGGGAGTGCCAAAGCAAGAAGGATTAGAGGAAGGTACCCAGCAAGAAAAGTGCTACGATTGACAAGACAACCTATATAGTTGAAGTGGCTGTGGCAAGCTATACCGAGGATGACTTCGACGACGCCGTTGACTGGGGTATGGCTGAAGGAAGCATCGACGATTCCTTATAGTCAGGCAATAACAGCCCTCGAGTCACGTTCGAAGAGCCTATTATAGGCTACAATATCTCTGCCGCCGTAGTATTGCAACTCGCAAAAGATTAGGGTTTCTAGTTAACCTAGAATAAAGAAGGTCAATAGAGGATATAATAATCGGACGACGAACCCATCCGAACTCTATCTTTCTCGCTTAGCGGCTCTAGGAGGCTAAGAAGGAATAAGCCGAGCTTCGAATAGTCATTCGAAGACTTACGGAAGAAAAGGCTTAGGCTATAAGCCAACTGGAGTTTATTAAAGCCAAATTGGTTAGGGTCTAGGAAGAGCATCACTCGAACTTATAGGATAGACCGGCTTAAGACCAAGGCTAGGATAGGAGAATTAGGGGAATTAAGAATCCCAAGGATGAATATTAGAAGGCCTAGAACCAGCGAAGGCTTAAGGGGTAGGAACTATAAGATTAGGACGCTTTTTGGAATAAGAAGCCATATAATAGCGTTAGAGATAGCAACGCGGTATGTATCTGGATTGGATTTAGCCCACGCTATAAACACTACGAAGAAGATATACTACGACTCTAACCTTAGCGATACGACTATGTCTACGTCTTATAGTTCTAGTGTATTGCGTACCAATGCCGATATTATTTCCGATCGAAGTTTGATAATGACTTTTGGCCCGATAGGCCTACCGACCGAAATAGAGAAGCTCGACTAGTCCTATAGGTTTAGAATATAGGAACCGGCGCCGACCAGTTCCTATAAAAGGTCGAGAGGACCAGCGTATATAATAGAATTAAGGCAACACCGCGAAGAATCTAACCAGAAGATTGCTAGCGATAGCTCAATAGCGTACGATAGTATAAAAGCTAAGATTGCCTGATTTATATATAGGTAAGGATCTAAGAACACCACGACCGTAAGACGCGTATATAAAGATAGATGACGCCTTGCGAGCAACGACAAGAAGAAAGAAGAGCCAACGAAATTCAATAGTTGTTCGATGAACTTCTAGAACTTAGGCTGTAGGATGGTAATCAAAAGGCATAGGAGGATAGGGATGCCTATCCAGACGCCAGGATAGAGCTAGGAAACGGCTTAGGGCCCTCTAAGGGGCCCGAAAACCACTAAATCCATTATAGCGACAATAGATCTGTGGGTGTAGGAAGAACTATATAAGAAGAAGGATCTACGACCTTCTAGCGAGCAAAAAGGAAGCCGCTGCGATTTAAGACGACAAACCCAATAATAGAATCTGGGTTATAGTATATTAGAAAGGATTCTAAATATTGGCACTAGTAGATAGAGGATCTTAGGTCGACCTTATCTCGCTAGCACTCGTCAACCAACTTAAGGTCCTATAGAGGATTAAAAAGAAGCAGTATATTATTAAAGGACCATTCGACACCTAATAGGTCCGATAAGAAACGGAACCACTTATGATTATAGTAGAAGGGAAGACCACCAAGGTGGTATTTGACATTGTTGAAATAGGGCCTAGGAAAGATATAATCCTTAGACGCCTATAGTATCGAACTTACGACCTAGACATTAGTTGGAAGGGAGGTAGCTACCTACGACCTTAAAACCCAAGGCCATACCTAACTAATAGGATAGGAAGCGCAGACGATGGATCGCAGCAGGGAAGATCGCCTGGAGAGGCGGCCTCTATAGATC